CGCAGTTTCTCGTCTCTCCCGTTGTTGTGCTTAGTGCGTACGCATGGGTTAGTTTGCGTGGAGGACCGCACATTTTCCCGTCAAGTTAGTATTTTATAAATCGCAAACATTGCGTAGAAACTGGCGTACGCCATTTTTTGAGCGTATATCCCTTTATAAATGAGGCCCCTGATCTAGGGGGTACAACTCTAAAACACCCATATGAAAAAGATCGGTTTACATTTTAATAATCAAATAAGTATATGAACATAACCAATAACCTACCATAGCCAATAACAAATAAATGTAGCTTATTTTATTTTTGTTGTTCATTCATATCTTATTTTACCTAGTTAACATTTATTTATTTATGCATATTTTTGTATCTCTCCAACTTTAAACGATATTTTTGGTTTACTGTCCTATAGTATACATTGGAATGATTTCAAACCTGTTTTTATTTATCCTAATAATTATAAAGGAGTGCCTTGGAAATATGTGTTTACATAATTTGTGGTCAAAACGTTTGAGACCCACTGAGATAACTTAGACTAAAATGAACTATCTAAACACTCAGAGTCCTTTACCTCACTGAGCCTCTCAGTCTGACAGGAGAGCTCTCCTCCACCCTGGTTGTAGAAACATCTACTTCTTATATCCGTTAGCGCAGCTAGCACCAGATTCTAATATCAACAGCGCCGGTACCGGTGCGCCGCGCCCTCTCTCCCTCGCTCGCTCTCACGCTCGCACTTTGGCTGTGAGCTGCGGGCGCCTGATAAGCCAACATCCCCCACTTTCATCACTTACAGCGCCCATCGTACAGGGCAAATGAAAAGTGTAACCGGGGTGAAAAGGGTGTTACATTTACTTAATTATGAATGTTGTTACATCAAGGCCGAAAAATAGGATGAGCGCCAACGGTCAAAAATGTTTTTTCCCCTCCCAGAGCTACCAGCGCAGCGCCCCCCAGATCTGGCGCCCTAGGCGACCGCCTATGCCAAAAATCGGCCCTGCCCAGTACATACAGTGGCAATGTCTCAAGATTTAGCAAAAATACACCTTTATTGAACATACAGTAACACAAATACTACAAATCCACATAACAAACAATCAAAAATGAAAAAGGGTCACCACTTATTATTTTAATAAATACACACACACACACACACACCACACACACACACACACACACACACACACACACACACACACACACACACACACACACACACACACACACACACACACACACACACACACAACACACACACACACACACCACACACACACACACACACACACACACACACACACACACACACACACACACACACACACACACACACACACACACACACACACAACACACACACCACACACACACACACACACACACACACACACACACACACACACACACACACACACACACACACACACACACACACACACACACACACACACACACACACACACACACACACACACACACACACACACACACACACACACACACACACACACACACACACACACAACACAACACCCTGTTGAACCTGTTCTACAGAGAAACTACAGACACACTGAAGTACAAAACAGATGCAACACACAGATCTGAAGCCTGTTCTACAAAGCCGGATTTTCGCTTAGCGAGGTAACTGTCCAATTTAGCAAAAAAACACTGTATTTTTATGATCAAATAGTTTACACAAGAGACGAGCATGACCATAGGACTAGACAAGCTACATCAGGCCATCTACTGGCACCTAAACCCAGGACCAATCTTCTGAAATCTTCTGTGACTTATAGAGCTATAAAGGAATGGAACTCATTGCCAAACTACCTTGCTGAAATAGAGTCCAGAGCCTCTTTCAAGAAGAGATTGAAGGGCCATCTACTAATGACCATGTACCCTTGTGAGCCCTAATTTAATTTGATCTCATGCTTTGTACTGGTGGGTGTCTTGTGCACTCATCCTTGGCTGAGATTAATGTTGTAAGTGGATGAGATTGTTGATGATATTGGTGATGATGTTAATGTTGTTAATGATGTCAGGATTTATGTCTTGAATGTTTTTGTATTATTGTTGTATTATTGTTGTATTGTTTTAAGTGTCGGACCCCAGGAAGAGTAGCTTTTGTCAAGAGCAAAAGCTAATGGGGATCCTTAATAAACATAAACATAAACTTCAGGGTTAACTTTGGGTTTCCGGTCCTGCGACGCTGGTTCACTTCTTACCGGGGTAGATCTCCATGGTAAATTATGCTGAACGGCAAACCTGCTCCGGAGCAGGTTTGCACCGCCTGCTGACCAATCAGAGCTCAGTGTGCGGAGTTTAAAGCTATCAAGTCATATTACAGGAGAAAGAAAATACAGAAAAACTGTTGCAGGAAAGACGGCCGGCAAAAATTAACTGACTGTGTGAACGTGAAAATTAATAAAATATCACCTCCCATCTTCAGAGCAATCTGACTAATATAATATTAGCGTTAAGAAAGCTTACTTAAATATCTGCCACAACACAAGTAACCGGATCAGAGTAACATTAAGTACAGTCCGCGGCACTGTGAGTGCAGACGTCGATGTGTCCCATTATCATTCATATCACATCATATCACATCATAATGTATAGGGATGCTCCGATCAGGGTTTTGGTGGCCGATCGCCGGAATCAGAATCGGCCGATACCGATCACCGATCATAGGGTGGGTGGGGGCTATGGGGATCTTCCATTTAAAGTGATGTTTAAAACTGGGGGCTCATTTTTATATTGCTTCAGTTTATAATCGTAACGGATCGAAAAGTTCAGATTAATTTTTCAATACATGATGCACTTCCACAAACAACATAATTATTAGATTCAAATGAAGTACATTATTCAAGTTTAAATTAACTTTGGATAATAACGATAATAACACAGGAGAAATTAGCAGAAGCGCTCTCTTTTCCTCTCTCCCCCCCTCTCTCTCCTGACAGCCTGTCAGTATCTCATGCAGCTCACTGATCCAGTAATGAGTGACCCGACAGTGAAGAATAAATATATTTATAACTAGTTTAGCTTGTTCCAGAGGTAGATAAAATAGCTAAGTGTGTTAGGTCTAACTCTTAGTGTGTGTTTTGCTCCGCTCACCGGTCCGTCACAGCAGGCGGAGCTGCAGGATTTCTGCTTCACACACGTTTTATTGTCTTTTTCGGACACCTTGAAAAACCGCCAGACCGGTGAAGCCATTATGGCGAGCTTGTTTTGCCGCGCACAGTCTCATGTATTCTGCGTCATCTGATCGGCTCTCCTGATCGGCCCTTATAGAGAGCACCGATCGAACTATTAAGAGTGAATATCGGCCGATAACGATCGGCGGCTGATCGATCGGAGCATCCCTAATAATGTATCATATATTTCCTTATCCGAGTAAGCATCTTGAGCCGTATGTGGCCGTGCAACACTCACAGTGTCACATACTGTATGCAGAAGTATTATTTTAAGCAACACATTAAGTTGACGAAACACTCGAGTCAAGTGTAATTAAAGTCAGATCCACTCGTGTCTTGGACGGGGCAGTGATATCATAAACCTGTTAATGTACGCATTCAAACACTTTTTCTTTTACCAGCTGTATTCACCTTGCAGGTGCAACTATGTGGCTTTTATCCTGGATAAAGTGTTTAAGTCATGGATGTTTAAAGTTTAACTTCTTCATATTTGTCTAATATTATAGTTTACTTTTCATTCAGGAAGTATGACGCTGCGCTGTCAGTACGCTTGTCCATGTTTGTGATTGGTCAAATGTTGCTAACCCCGCCCCTTTCATGTGAACGCGCTCTCAGCCGGACAGAGAAACCCTGGGTTGAGTTGCCGAGTTGATAACCAGCGTCGTAGGACCGCTTAGCGAGATCGCGTTTGTTTTGGGTTAGTTAAGCCAGATAACTCAAACATATCCAGGGTATGTTGAACTGGATTCGTAGTACAGGCCTCTGGTCTGTCTGCGTCAGATCTGATATCTGTGGATTTATAAAGAAATTATATTTTGCTTTCCCAGACAAGGATTAAATCTAGTCCAGGACTGAACTAAGGACATTCTTCTATGGATATCTGCAATCAGGACACAATTTAATGTCTGTGTGGAAAAATAAGCTATGTAGCCGTTTTCTATTTTTTTTAACAATGCTCTATCTATTTAGTCATATTCATAAAAAAAGTATGAAAATAACCATTTGAAAAGATAAATTATTGTATACAGTTTCACAAATGCCTCAGATTACCAGTTTATGCTTTTAAAAACTGATTTGCTGCTTTAATACATTAGATGGTGTTGTCTCTAGTTTCTTGATTTAATCACAACAGTGATGAGCAGCAAGGCGGGATTAAGATTTTGCAATTCCCAAAAAGGCCAATTTAATTTATTTTTAATTTATTGTGAAATAAATTGTGGTTGATTAAGAATGTAGGTTATAAAAAAATCAGGGCACAAAACTAAATATGAACCTGTATTTTAAACAAATGGGGGCTAAATGTCCAACATACTAATTGCTTTATGTCTGTGTCTAAAATCAGTAAAGAAAATGTCCCGAACAAACAACAAATATGTGTTTTAGACTAGCTCATATCGAAGTCTCACAGGCCAGGTTTTTTCCCTCCAAACATGCTTGATGTGAATAACCCTTGAAGAAACTGAATCTGTTCAGGCCAGAGCAGAGTTCACAGTCGGGAGAAGGTCTTGCTTCAGGGTGTTATCATGTAAAAGAGTACATGTGCGTTTGTGGCAGTACTGATGACCCTTTAAACTTGGCTGAAAATCATTTTAAGGGGGCTTTTTGATGAGATACGGTCCTTGAGGCTATTGTCAAGACTTGCCTGCTGGACATTTTGGATAATGTGTGAACAAGTAAATAGTTACTTTTCATCAGTGTGTGAAGATGTACACCAAAACGCTCTGTAAATCTAAAGGGTAGTCACTCCTCACACTCCTGTTGGGAAAACACAGTAAGGCAATGTCAGCTTAGGCATAAGTATCTTCTCTTACCTTGCCGGTCTTGTGGTCGAACCAAACCAGGGCATGATTTCTGGACAGCACCTTGCAGTCGAAGGTGGCGTTGTTCTGGGCCGGCCGACACCGAGCCACAGACCTGCCGATCTTGACTGGCTCATCCAGGTACACATGTCGCTCCTGGAATGGATGCGAGTTTGGTCGGCAGGCGAACACAGCCAACGCTGAAGGCATTGACTTTGGCTTTAGAGTGTTACTCCAACCAGACACGAGGGACAGGTTTTCTTGATCCAGATTGGCAGTCTTCTGTTGCAATCCCCAATGGATAAATGTACAATATCTGTGGCCTATATGTAGGCCGAACTGTTAGTCCTCTAAGTTCCTAGGCACTAACTAATAAACATTGTCCACTGTGCACAGCCCGGGCTGCACTGCCTTCCCTCTTCGATTCAACAAGACTCCCCTGTGTTTGAAACAAATGAAAATAAAAAACAAACCAACAGGTATAAAAAAGACAAGACATTCCTCTTACTGACTGTCCACCAAAGCTACATAACGATACTTATATATCTGACAGCACTATGTACAGACCAAGGTGCCATGTGTCACGACATACATGACTGAGTATAGCACTGACAGCCTGGAAAACAGCCTCCCACGTCCATCAAACTATTCCAGCACTGAACCAGGCGAGGGATTGGTGTTTAGCCCCCCCAATATAGCAACAGTTCACACCAGTAACCGTGACTACAAAATTAATAAGTTATCAATCCAGGAAGCTATATGTCTAGCATATTTTGGGAACAGTTAATATTATATTGCACTTTCTATGTGTTGTCTTGCAGCAAGCTAACAACGGGCACACACTCCAATGTGCAGTCGGTTTACACACATTTAGTAATGTGTCATGTTAAATCTATTCGTAATTTAAAGCCGTAATCAGAGTGACATTGTTGCCCTGAAACAGGGAACCTTAGCTAGCTACCTAACGTTACCACTCCCTCCACAGAACACCTATAAGGTCGCTAACAACACCTAGCAAGACTAAACGCCAAAAACACCCCTGAGTTTTTAAACATTAACGGCAATTTGGCCAACTAAATCAGCCCAGTGTCCACTTCTAGTCTAATTTGGTAAGTGCAAGAGGCTTCAAAACACTCAGCCGGGATGAGCGGGGGATTAGCAGGTCTTCTTGTGCAACTAAAATGCTAATTGGCTAGCTCGCTAGTGGACAGGCAAATCGCTCACTCGGCCAACGTTTTCTGGCGTTGTACCAACAAGCTAGGATAGGCTAGGCTAGGCTAATGAGTGCTGACAAACTTTATCAACCAGGTCTTCAAATGTGTTTTCCCCACCAGACTCAATCAGTTCGCTTACCGGATGGAGGCGAAATGCCATCCCTGTCTCCTGGAGCAAATATAAGCAGCAAGCTAGCCCGCCTTTTGGCTACTACGGAGCCCTGCAAGCGAACGTTAGCATTAAGGTGGTGAGCTAACTGAGCAGCTAGCCGGCTATCTGACAGTCAGACGCGGAAAAATCAGGGGAGTTTCTTGACTGCGGGTCCTCCTCACGCATCACACCAGCCCGATTATCATCCAGGAAAAAACTCCGTTAAAGCCACAAGTTGCGCCGTCGTCGTCCGTGTTTGCCAATATATTTGTTAAGTTAAAGTCGTTGCCTTCCCACTGTTTTCGGGAAGGAATCTAGAAGAAGTTGTCCTCCTCCACAAGTCCCAGCCGCCATACTGTAACTAGAGAGCAGGCAGGCGGGGTGCGTTCACGGCCCGAGTCACATCAACTCCACTCTCCGACCGCTGAGCTCATTAATCAGGGACCCTCAACGTGGGGTCCGGGGACCTCCAGGGGTCTCTGGCCCTCTGCCAGGGGGCCCGTGAAAAGTATACCGATTCATTATATAAGTATAAGATATCAAATCGTTTTTTTCTTCCTCTTATTGTTTTTTACAAATGGCTTCAAAGTTCAACATACTGTATATGTATTTTTTATTTTGTTGTAATGGAAAATAGTTCATAGACTTGATTTTACTGACTTTTCTGTATATTCAGATTTATTGTGAACATTTTTTGTTATTTTTTTTGTAATAGTTTTATATTTGTTCAAAATGTGCTTATTTTTTTAATGTAATTATGTATGCACAATTATACACAAATTCCTCGTTTAAACCTGATTCTGACTAAATCACGTTCTTGTCAACCAAATTGTATAATTTTTAACTTCATAAAATCCATTCATCTTAAGCCATTGAGCGCCGGGGCTATGTATTTATGAATTTTTTTGCTATAGTGAGTTTTAAAATGTTGTAATCTTGTATGCAATTTGAACAGTGAGATTTGCATTTTACAGTCCCTGCAACACCCCAAATCATTTGTTTAACTAATATGGAAATATTAGTTAAACAAATAACTTCATAATTGAATCAGTAATAAGTTTGAGATCCCATCGTCTTGATTTTACATACAATAAAAGTTAATTTGGCTGAACAGACTCTATGAACGCTATTGAAGGCTATTTTTGCCAAAAAATAAATGAAAGTATTACAAAAATAATAATTCAAAATACCCAAGGTTATGAGTCATAATTTCAACTACCAGGATATTTGGAAAGTTAACTTACAGTAAGTAGCTAAATTAAAAGCATTATTTTTTAACATTAGTTTTCCTGTTCTGCTGATCTGGGATATCTATAACAAATGTGTTTCAAAGTAGGGCATATAGTGATTTAGGCTTCCACTTGTTTCAAGATACTCAGGGAGGGTAACTTTAAAAACTGTATCGATTGCTTTGTTACGGTACTTTTTCTAGTTTGGTTTTAACATTTGTGATAGCAAAACTGCAGCTTTCCAGTAATAAGAAGGCCAACTATTTCCACTCCCACTATTATGAGGTTTTTGTCCAGGTGACTTGATTTACGGCCTGGGACAAAAGGGTGGGGTGGGGTGACGTGTGAGGGGATCAAATTCTGCTTATGGCTAAAGAAAAGTCCCTGCTGTGTTCTGGTGAACCGACAGCTGAGACCAAATCAATGCTGCATGAGACAGTGGAGAGAAGTATGGGAGGATAAACACCACAAGGCAACTGCGTAACTGCTCATTTATTTAATTAAGTCATTTTGAACAGCAGATAAAACATTCACATTTAATTGTTACGGTTTAAGTTTTGTGCAACAAGTTTTCCACTCAATTTTGGCACAGATTAAACAAAGTACATAACTTGATGTTCTCATGCAAGAGAGACTTTCCTCTTTACAATTATCTGGTGTAATAAGAATATAATTGAGATTATTTGATGATGAAAACCAAATCATTATGGTTTCAGTTAGCCTAACTGTTGGTGCAGTCTTTCAAGTTAGTCAGGAAGGAATACAAAATTATTCTGGCAGTTCAGTTTTGTTCAGAATTTGTTCACATTTTTCATAAAATTTAGTTAATTTGGATTTCTGCCAAGCGCCGCCATTGCGGGAATTGATCTCACAATCTTGGCAGAGAGGCAGAGACTGGAATTATCTGAAATGTCTTAATTTTTGCTTCTCTCATTCATGTTAACGCACACTTTTTTGCAAAATTCATGCAGGCAATTATTGCCTTAAAATAAAATAAATGTTATAGTAATATTAACATTCGCATTTTAAGGCCTAAATTGTGATCAAACTTACTATTCTTTCTCAATTTGTGAACATTTAAAGGAAATATTATATTTTGGGAAATAGGATTATATGTTTTTTTTTAAATAATTTAGTTTTTACAGCATAGACCTTTTTTATTATTCCTCTTTCATATTTTGTGAATATATAAGCAACAACTGTAAAAGACAAAAAAAAGGACGAAGCAAAATAAAAATGCAAACATTTAAAAAAACACTTTTTAAGTGCACAGTTAATTGATTTCCATTAGATACACATTTTATAAAATACAAAAATCTTGAATGATTGGATTTCTTAACAAGCTGTTAGCTTAACATAAAGACTGGAAACCGCTAGCCCAGCAGAAAACTCCCAGCACCTCTCAAGCTAACTATCACCTTATATCTTGATTGTTTAATCCTTAAATAGAAAATGTTGCTCCTGTTCCTGGTCCAGATTTTAGTACTGGTCCTGGTATTGATCCTGGTCCGAATCCTTGCAGCCAGGCCCTCCTGCAGAGCGAGCAGGGGGCCAGCTGTCACTGTGCTAACACTTTGACTATTTGAGATTTAACAGCATCTTACTGTGTTTAGCTGCTTAGCCCCGCCTGACATCACATCGTTTGACAAGAGGCTTTTTGTTAGTGAAAAGCGCATCACAAAAAAATGTAATCCATTCAAACCTATTTTAAAACATTTTTTATTAAGGCAGTAGTTTGTATAATGTAATTCTGTTTGCTATTCTACTTCAGCTTCATGTGAAGCACTTTGTAACATTCCTAGTGCATTGTTATTAATATGAGCTCAGCAATAAGGACATTTTTCCATCAAAGTTCTAAGAATGCTGACAGTTGTGTGTAATAAATATAACCTTTTTTAAATGTGACTATGCAATGCTTTTGTGTTGTTGCTTGAAATGGATTCATGTAAAATCCAATATGCACGAGAAATCCTAATCTGATCCCAAAAAGTGAAAAGTTAGAAGAGTTTTTTTTCATATATATATATATATATATATATAAACAAATGTATTGTTGAATTGTTTGAATCTATTAATATATACTGTATAGTTTATTGTGATTTCAACAATGAATTCAATTTTTTTAATTGGATTGGGGTATAAAAAGCTTCAGAACCATAGAGAATAATATACATAACTAGTTAAATAAAAGTTTATATAATTGTATAATTATTACTAAAGGTATACTGTAAAACAGTATTACTAATTTAGAAAATAATTGTGACATATTTATAAATGTTTCTATGTTTTTTTTATATATGAACTCCCCCAGACAAGCTACAACTGCATTTCATTGTAAACTACAGCCCTGTGTTGCATAATGGCAATAGATTCTCTCTAAATCTTTCAATCCCCTTACTTAAAAAGTGGATTTATGTCACAAGTGTAGGGTTAACAGGGGGTCTACCCCCCCCCCCCCCACCCCCCCTCCTTAGAGCATCCACACTCTGTTTCATCTGTTTGTTCAGTGATAGAGATATTAAAGGATTTAGAAAAAGCTGCTTTACTGCTTTTTTCCTGTCTTGGACTAAGATTTGGACTGTAAAGTAATTAATTTGATTACGTGATTCACAATCATTGTTAAAGATGTGAACAATTCACATACATCAGATTGGTTGTAAATAACATATGATAGTTAAACATGAACACACGGTAAGTGAGAACCACAATTGACTTGTGCAGTACTTTTAATCATTGTTCATTGGTCAATCATTGGTTTGTTGGTCATAATAGTCCATCATACTTAACGTTTACTGACATTAATTACATTGAAGTTTATCTGCTGTTCTTATTTTTTTTTACACATTTTAAATCTTTATCGAAAACCACACGTTTTGTGATGAATATATTGGTGGGATTAATATGCACAATTTTGTTATGTGTATTGTAATATGAAAGGGGTGAATACAATATTCCACCGTCTGCGGTTGACTTGAATACAACACAGTGCCAGGGACGGCTTTACGTGATGACGTTTCACGTTTCATTCTCACGTCCTACGTACGCTCTTGCTTGCTACTATGCTAAGCGCTAGCTGAGAAGCTACTTTCTGTAGCTCTGCTTGTTGTTGTCACCTGAGGAGACACTAACTAAACATACCAATCTTAACTAACTTATCCAAGCCGTTCATATTCTCCGGAGCGTCTGAGTGTCCGTGTAGGGCCGTAGTCATGGCTCTACAAGGCCCAGAGGAGCTGGGGGAGCAGGTCGAAGAGCCGGAGGATTTGGACGACCAGGACGCTAGTAGCATCTCCCCGGCCGAGGAGATAACCATGCCCAGCGGGCCTGGGGGCGACGACGAGCCGGAGGAGGCTCTCCTGCTACCCTGGGACCGCTTCTCCGCCTGGCTACACTGCATTTGCGTTGTTGGCTTCGACCTGGAGCTGGGACAGGCAGTGGAGGTGAGCCACAATGATCCGCGTCACGTAAAACTCCTAATAGTGGTGTTGCTAAAAAAAATACTCAAGTTAGCAGTTATTTAAGGCCTTGACTATTCACTGGATTGCCACACGAAGATATCTACATGAAGCTGTTTGTTTAGTTCTCTGTGTTGTTCTTTTTAGCTCTAACACTGCTGACATGTATGTATGTGAATAATAGCTTCCCTGTAGGATACCAAGTTTGTTAACTGATATAGTTTCTCTCGTAGCCAATTGGAATTGTGAGTGCTATCTTCTCAGGAGTCAGTCTACTCCAACAACATCAGCTCTGCTACTATCTCACGTTGAGCATTTTGCTGAAACTCTTCCTCTCTTTTCACTCACTTTAAACTTAGTCACAGCTTAATTTCGGGGAGTTGAGCAACGCATCTCTGTCATGAAGGGTTTACATTCAACACACCAAACACCCGTTGTCGTCACAGGTGTTTGGGATGCAGAAGAAATACAAAATACTGCATGTGTTAACAAGGTTAGACAGTGACCTGGTTTCAGGCTCCTGCAAGTCTTTCTGTTTCACTTTCTCTTATGTAACTAGTAACATAAATACTCCACAACCTTTTTTTGTTGCCACTTTTTATTGACTAAATATTGTGTAGTTGTGGTCTTGGCATAGAGTGTAAATAAAGAATGTATTCTATAATGTCAGCAAATTGTGAAAAACAATTCCAAGCTCAAGTTTCCAGAGGCTAAGGGTTCTAGTTTTTGGGTAAAAAAACAAAACTTATTCAGGTAACACAATTTATGCTGTTTATTTTTCTCACGATAGAATAATCAAGTTACCATTACCCATAATCTGATCACAGAGGGAGTCAACAAAAGTACTCCTTTGACCTAACATTTTGACTTTTATTACTTCACATATTCCAAAACTCTGTGCTTTAGACACATTTCAGTCATAATGCCGTAAATATCGTGTCATCTAGATATTTATGTTATTCTGAAATGTAAGGTGCATTAATCACTTATAATGAATTTATTACACAATTGACATCCCCTTTAAAAATGTTACACTGTAGAAGGCAACATGTGTATTGTAGTATGGTGACAAATCAAGCGCAACACAATGGAAGTAACAGAAAGTCAATTACCTGGTGACATTTTTAAATACAATTTTATGTCCTAGTTTTTAAACCTGTAATGAGAATGTGCTGTTTTGTTTAGCAAAGTTGAACACTGTTTTTATATGTGGGTTGTTAACTTTGATAATCTGTCTTTCAGGTTATCTATCCTCATCACTCCAAACTGTCAGAGAAAGAGGTGAGTCAGACTGATAAGCAATGAACACTTAATACCAGAAGTTTCTTTGTTTGTAATATATTTGTTCATACCGATCATCATTGTTCTCTTACTGTTTACTTTCTGTGTCCCTGAATCAACCCAAGATGAATTTATTAAAATAATTTAAACTAACGAAATAATTTATTTTTCAGAAAACAAGCATCTGCTACCTTTCCTTTCCTGACTCCAACTCAGGTGAGTTCCTGCTTCAGCCTTTTAAACTTTTGTCTCTGTACTTTTGTCTCTGTAGTTTTGTCTCTGTATTCCCCCTTTTAAGAAATGCATAGTGTTGTATTTCTTATACAGCTTGAGAGGGAATATTAAACGCTGGTTACTTTTTCAGTGTCCGCACTTCTGACCAATCGGTGCCTAAATGTTGGATTGTTAGTTTTCATAAAGTTACAGAAATTGTGAAACACCCACCTAAAAGAACATCAAGGTGGTTTCAGGTTGTCAGGCTGGTGACCTTTAACCTTTCCAAACAGATGGAGCGAACCACACAACATACTGTTGACCAAGATTATTTCTAATCTTGCAAATGTGATTCTGGATGAGATAGTCTTGTCTCTGGCACAAAACCTACAGTAGGAGCTCTGGTTTCAGCAGTCACCTTTTCATTTATATTATTTTGAACAATCAAATTACCTTTTGATTTATACAGGCCAAAATAACAAATATGTTTTAGAGGGCTGTACAGACTGTAAGGGATGGGACACCCTCTGACCCTAAACCTGGCAGCCCACAAGGTAATCTCCCAAAGAAACCCCACAATTAAGCGGGAAAAATGGGAAGAAACCGCAACAGATGTGGTATTACGGAAAAAACAACATATTAAAATGACAGTCCAAATGAGAACGTGAAAGAATATATCTTGAAATTGGAGATGTTTGTGGTGTCAGCTAGTCAGAGGTCACTTTGAAAATTGTCATGAGTGTAACACTAGACTGGAGAAAAAGTTGTTGAGGGATTAGTTTACACACACACTCTATTTGGGATGGTGTGTGTTGTTCTGCAGGTGTGAGCTTATGTTGGCTTTGAGTCATTGGGACGTGGAGCTGACGAACATCCTGCCCACAGGATAGGACGGGATTAGGACAAAATGCTTACAGGGCTTGAAGATGTTGAGAGAGAGAGAGAGAGACTCTCACTCTTTCTTAGTGTCTTATTTCATCAGAGCTGCCATCATTTGTGTTCAGTCCACTTGACTGTTGTCACTGTAGGGAAAAGATACAACATTCAGAGTATTCAGAAAGAAGAGGTGGCAAATCAGCAGACAGGATTTTAAGGGTAAATCGCTGACTCAGCTCTACTCTTTGGGTGTTTACATATACATAAGGTTGTAATAACATATTGATACAACTGGAAATTACTCTGTGAAAATGTTGATAATCACTTGCAACCATGGGGAAAAAAAAGTATGTTTCCAGCACTTCAATTGAGATACCCTTGCTGCTTTACACTGTTATATGACGATACACTGAAAAGCAATATATAGAACAATACCAAAAGTACTTGTGAATATAACATTCATGATCATTTATATTGTTAGATTATAAATAGTGCTTTATAGCCACTTTATTAACCAATTGGACATATTGTGATTTATGAAAAGGAAAGGCCAGAAATTGTTTTGACCTATAGGCTTTTCCTACTTTGTTGATAAAGTATATGTTTCTTCTCTTCACTGCGTCGTCACAGTAGACAGTGCTGGAAGGGTTACAGGGTTCAGTGGCTTGTTTCATCCTGGGTGGTCCCAAACGCAACCTGATGATGTCATGGAGTCTTTTCTGAGCTCTAGGAAGTGTGCGTGTAGTGGAATGCTTTAAAGTGTGGGCTGAAGTGTGTGTGTTTGTGCGTGTCTTGTTATTTTAAACTAATATTTTCTCTCTGTATCTCTTCTGCTGTGTCTGCTGGAGGATGTGCGAAGGTCATGTGGGGGTTAAAGGCTGCTCAATGACTCATTGGGCACTTCCTATTTCCTCTTTCTTTCCACCTTCCTCTAACTGTTTTTCCAAATATCAGGAAGAAACCAGAAGGACACTGATACGAGCTGACTGGTGCACATTTAATATCACAGAAAAATACATTTATATCAACTCTGGAAACAATGCAATAATAATAAAAGGTTGACTATATATAATACATCGACTTTCAAAGTTAATTATTTCCTCCTTTTAACAGGAAATAGAGATAGAATCATTCTGAATAAAAAATAAATCGGTAGTCTTGAGAAATGGAACACAAGATAAAGGAAGACAAATATAGAATTTTTACCATAGAAAATGGAATTAATGTTAATGTTCCCCAAAGTTTGTGTTAAAGTGGACCTATCATGCTATATTTGAATAATATAGTGTAGGACCATACCTATATAAGGCATATTTATACTTTTTTTTTCTTCAAAATACCAAACAGATCATGCATTTTAGCCATAGAGATTTGGGTATGGAGGAAAATAGAGAGGGTTGTGTTTTCTGACACTTGGTGAGTTCCCTGGAACACCGGGGACACATATTCATGTATAAAAGACGTACAAAAGTGCATTTTGCATGATAGGTTCCCTTTAAATTACTTTAAGTATATCATTTATGTTAATGCCGACATGTTCCTAATTCTAACTCTCAATACAAAGTTCATAAGTATCTGACTTTTTTGTTAATATTCTCCGCATCTTGTTGGCAAATGCACAAATATAACGTAATCCTGAATCAAAAATAGATTTGAAAAGAAAATAAAGAAGACCAATAAATAATATTTTTTTGTTTAACCTGAATGACTTTAATGGCCTATGTTTATGCATGCTTAAATGAATAATTACATGTGGAGATATTAAAATACATTGTATATAAAATATTTAAATGCTAATAAGTTTCTTATCCTACTCTAATCCGGGCAGTTTGATCCCATGGTAACCAGTTCACTCTCCTGTGTGCACAGGTTGCCTTGGCGACACCCAGTTTTGCTTCCGATTTCGTCAGGGTTCCAACAGGAAGTCATCGCTTGGCGTCTTCCTTGAAACAACCGACCGGGACGCACCGCCCTGTCTGAAGGTTGGACACACAGGAAACATGCAGCTATGCATACACCTGAATCCTCTGGTTTAGTGATGTCACACTCATTCTGTGTGTGTATCTGTGTGTGTGTTGCAGAGGGAGCAGGGCCATTACTATGGTTACGTGTACTTCCGTCAGGTGCGAGACAAATCCCTGAAGAGAGGATACTTCCAGAAGGTGAGCGCCAGAATGTAGAATAACTTCAACCCACTAAAACCTCGCCAATACAAAAAAACAACAATAAATAATAAGACACTAGTCAATAATATGTAAAAATAGAAGTATAAAACGTTGTATTGTAACCATACAGCAGTATCCTAGTATACTGTTTATCAGTAGAGCATGTATATGGAAGGTATTGTTCATTTTATTACTAAAGCAATACATTTTCTCCAGTGCTTTTTTGGACCGTAAAGTGGAACTGCACATTTGGCAGATGGCAAACTAATAATAATAAATGTCGACTATCAAACAAAAAAATTATTCACAATTGTTTCAGCCATAAAAGTGTTATTCATCAATAATGTAAACTATTGAAACCCTCCTATTACAAATGTATTGCACAGAGCTGCTGTAAACTTGTCACATGTTTACAGTCATAGATAAAACAATATTCTCTGTAAGCCTTCTGTAGTTAACAGTGAAATCACAAATCAAACGTACATATTTGTGGATAATACAGAAGCAGGCCTCAGTGACCCTCAAACATGCTATAACATATAGAAAGAACATAAACACGAACAGGGTTATGGGGGTGTACCTGCAACTTATTCAAACAAGGGGGGCATAGAAATAAAAGACTAAAAAACAAAAATATATAAAAGTCCCTTCTAGACAAATGATGGTCGTATTGGTGTAACATATATTATCCATTTTTCCCATCTTGACAAAAAGATTCCCTGTTGCAGTCTCAAAGCAAGGGTTATCATTTCCATCTTAAAAAGATCATACACAATGTCAATCCACTCATCCAAAGTAGGTTCTCCTGGTTTTAACCACATTCTGGTGATGGCCTTCTTGCAAGCAGCACTCGGGATTCGAAATAGATATTTATCTTTAGAGGAAAACATGTCTACCTGAAAACCCTTTTGTAAAACTCCATGAACCTGCTGCCAGAAAGGATTCAATGATGTGCAAGACCAGAATATATGAAAATGGTTTGCCATAAGGCATCCACACTGTCGCCAGCATGCAGAGGAATTAGTGTAATGTCTCTTCTGGGCTGGAGTCATGAGGTTATGAGGTTTTCCAACAAAACTCTCGCCATGAGGTTGAACTTGAAGTTTTCCGTTGTATCTCACATAAATCCCTCCCTCTGTATTTGATGGATGTAATGACGAACTTGAAGGAACCTGTAAAAATCATCACGTTTCAAGTCAAACTGCCCCTTCAGATTCTGAAAGCTGTTCATGGACCCCTTGTGAAAACATGTGCAGTAGGCTGTCAGGCCTTTTGAAGACCAACACTTAAATCTTGCGTCCCATCTTCCAGGTAGAAATTCTAGATCATACACACACCATCTTAAAACCTGTACAGCCTCCCTCAAGTGATTTTGAGTCACCAGTCTGTTCCACACCTTAAGTGACAGACAGATCCATGGGTTGCTCAGTTCGTTTAGTTTAGTCATCAAGACCGTATCCCCAATTGCAGCTTGAATTGGAAATTCTTCTGATATAGCACTCTCAATCTCCTTCCATCTAGCAACGTACTTTGGATTGCACCAGCATATTAATGGTCTCAATTGAGCCGCAATATAGTAATCCTTTAAACATGGGAGTGCGACACCACCCTTGTTCTTAGCCAATTGTAAACTCTGATATTTAAATCTTGGCCTCCGTCCCTGCCAAATGTACCTTGAGATATGTTTATCCCATTCCTGAAATTGTTGGTCAGATAGTTCTAGTGGAAGGGACTGGAAGAGATACAGCAGTCTCTGCAAAATAAACATCTTGACCGATTCAATGCGCAAACTAAAACTGAGGCTGTAAACTTGTTTTAATGAAGTATCCCCCCACAGAAAAAGTGCAAAGTTCACACACAGCCATGTTGCTGTCATGTCGACTTATTGTAACAACCAGAAAATGTAAACACCGGTATTCACTCACGGTAACTGGGTGGGCGTTACCGTGAGTGAATACCGGTGTTTACATTTCTGGTTGTTACAATATGTTAAAAGACGCTACAATCCAATTAACAGTTGAGTACAGTCTAGAAATAGGGAATTCACTTGAACAATGAAATGCTGTGGTCAAGATCACCAGAGGCCAGATACAAATTGCCTACACACCTGAACATATTTTTGCTTTAGTCATAAGGTGCACATTTGGTTTGCCTATCTTCCCCTCTATGTTGAAGTTCTAGGGTTTAAGAAAATACCTGACATAAATGAGTGTGTGAAGGAGAAAAGTGAGAGGAAACTGTTAAAAACCAAATGACATGTTTTTAGAAGCTCCCAGCTGATGTAATTTTTCATGAAGTAGTTCATTCAACATCCTAAAGTGCTGCTTACAAGTAAACTAGCATGCTTCACAGTTAAAGATTCAGTTGTTAAAAATAAGATGGTTATAGTACCATATAGAATGTTCTCGTTACCTACTATATCCATTTCAAGACATAGGTGTTGTTTTCCCCTCCTCCAGTCTCTGGTCCTGATCAGTAAGCTGCCCTACGTCACCTTCTTCCACTCGCTGCTGAAGATCATGGCTCCAGAATACTTTGAGAAACAGGAACCTTGTCTGGAGGCTGGTCAGTCTGCTTGTCTGTCTCTGCCTTAATGTTTTAAACAAGATAAACTCAATATTTTAATAATCCCTAAAAGGGAAAATCAGGTTTAAAAGCAGCAAGCGCAATTAAACATCATCTCATTTTTCTCCATGCAACTTTCTTTGTAACTAAACTCTTAAGAAGTGATGCAGAAAACTCTCACTAAACTATTTTTTAAAAGGCTTTTAACTAAATCTAAACTGCATTACTTTAAGCTAAGTGTACCTAATAAACTGAGAGTATATTAACCTTGTTTTACTTTTAGTAAAGCAGATTCATGTTTCAAGTGTATTCTGATTCAGATGGCTGTTGTTTGTGTATTGATTGACAGCTTGTAACGACATGGACCGCTGGCCAACACCCCATCCTGGAAGAATACTCACACTTCCGATTATGGGCGTGGTCATCAAGGTACACACACACACACTCACACTCACACTCACACTCACACTCACACTCAACAGGTGGAGGTGAGTCAGTGGGTGTTTCTCAATCGCGAGTACGCTTGCTTGGTAGCACATGTCTGCCGAGCATCTTGCTTCAGAAGCGAGTCAAGAATACTTCCTGGCATTCGGAAAACAAAGAGTGGAGCAGGCTAGCAAGTGTGCAGGTGTGCGTCATATGAGAGGCCCCGCCTTACATCTTCCGCCACAGATTTGGGGAAATTGGTCCGTGCGCAAAGCATTGTGGGGATTTTAAGACCGCGGAGTCTACTCATGTGCAGCCTCGATATTTCTCCAAACGGAGTACGCCGGGCTCGGTAGATTTCCAAGTATGCTGGAGATTGGAACAATCCTTCGGCGGCACTCGATGACGTAGTATGCTTGAAATAGTGGCTCTGAAGCAGCTTTACTCGCGATTGAGAAACACCCCGTGTGACTGCTCACAGCAGGTAAGGCTCAGGCGGTGCAGCACCTTCAATTAGCAGCTATTATTAATGGAATGAGTAACACCTGAGTTTGGAAGCTCAGCATGTCCTTTATAGGGAAAGTGTATAGTTGAATTTGACAGAGACATTGGAGGCTTGCTGAAGCTTCAATCCTGCACGTCTGATTATGTTTTACTTCATATGTTAGCTGTTACACTATTTTATTTTTCATTTGATCTTTTGCAACTCTGTGTTTTACTTTATATTATATTCACATTTAAGCTGCAGCACTATTTTTCTCATGTGTTCTTTATTTATTTCATCATTTTAGTTTTGTATCTTCTTTGATCTTTTGTATATAATTGATTGATTAACTTGTTTTCACATGTTTTTAGCTGCTGCATTATTTGTATTATATTGTATTTGATATTTGACTTTACTATTATATGGTGTAGTTGAAAATTCAAAAAATATATTATACTAAAGATATTTGATATTCTTATATATTTGTATATTCTATAAGATGATTTGGCGACTGCTTCACAGTAATTGTTGTTGACATGACAATAGAAATGAACATTTTGAGCGTCCAACTAAAAAAATAAATAAACCACAAGCAGTCAATATTCTTAATATGATTGAGTTAAAAATGGATGATAATTGTTCAAACTAACACTGTGAATCTGTGTTTTGCCGCAGGTTCGCATCCCGACCTCTTACGACAAACCAGGAACATCCCAGTTGGTCCAGTCCGCCCAGGTGATCGATCACACACACACGCACGCACACACTCACACACACGTACGTTCAACATTTGTATTTTGTTGGGTATTATTTTCAGCATGAAGTGTGTAAACATGAATTGAACACATGATTATTTCCACTGACAGAGAGTGTGTCTGTGTTTTCAGAGTGACAGTCAGGTGTCCATCGTGCTCCCAACCATCCATGAGGTCGACCTCTTCAGGTGAGTCACTCTGTTTATCAACCATACATATGCTTGTGATTAAGCCTGTAGTGAATGTCATGTTTTTACATTCAAAGCTTCTATTGAGGTTTTTAAATCTAATCGCAAATCTCTATTGTAATATTTTACGATATCATCATTAAAAAAATGTAAGTCTAAAGAAAAAATCCCACTCCTGGAATCTAATTAGACAAATAGATACATATAATATTAGTGTAAAACAATCTTTATCTCTAACTATGCAGAAATAGTGGAATGCAAAAAGTGAAATATAAAATGTTACAGTAAATAGCACACTGGTGAGTTTCTGAAGCTTCTTAGTGTCTACAAAACAGCGATTGCTAAGAAATGGATTAGTGAGTCTACTAAACGTCATTACACTGAATACAAGTCTGCTTTAGCTTAGTGGTGGAGATGTGAAGTCATGTGGCCGTGGTAATTGTTTATAGCTGATAGTTACAAAACGTGTATAAAGTGTCATAAACGTGTGTTTGCCTCAGAGCTTATATTCTGCAGTAATCTAAAAGGAAGCTTTGCTTAACACACTCTAAATCTCTCTCTCTCTCTCTCTCTCTCTCTCCAGATGTTTCTACCCGGTCTTCTTCCACATACAGATGCTGTGGGAGTTGGTGTTGCTGGGGGAGGCCCTTGTTGTCATGGCGCCGTCGCCTGCAGAGTCGTCGGATACCGTGCTCGCATTGGTCAGGTGAGTCAGCCGAGTTTACAGGCAGGTCATAGTGCGAGCAGATATAGATGCTCTGCATTTAACAGCACATTTGAGGTTATAATGAATTCAATGTAATATGTTTTCTGGGTCTCTGCCCCTACCAACGTTCTCTTTAAAGGGTTGTGTTGCTAACAAGACAAATGGGGCAATGTCATTATTTGTCTGAAAAGGCCTTTTCGTGTCAAAATGTTGGTAAGATATGTGGCTTGTCAAACAAATGGGTCCAATATTTACTTTTGTGACTGGGGTGAGAGAATCTGTCATAATCTGCGTTAACACGTCGCACTGGAGAGAAAGGACTCAAATCTACACATCTAATATCAGAATCAGAATTATTTTATTTGTCCTACTGAGAGAAAATGTACATTGTAACAGCAGAAATATAAATAGAGACAAAATATAAAAACACTATTAAATAAAAGGCATGCACATAATAGTAAAAAAAAAATGACACAATTACACTTTACAAAAGTACATTTTCAAGGTAGAGAAAGAAAGTATAGAAAGATAGTAGAAAGTAGCAGCATAAGTAAATTGCATATTTATAAAAAAAAGTGTAACATGTAGTGTGGTCGCAACCAGATATAATATATGAAATTATTATTTATTTTTTCATTGACATTGATGCCATTTGTTGTGTTCAGTTTAGCTGTAGCTCTCTGACTTCTGCCTAACAGAGGCTCATGAATCCTGGTGTTATTCAGGCTTTAAACATTAAGATATATCCCTCTCGCTCTCTCTCTCTCTCTCTCTCTCTCTCTCTCGCTCTCTGCAGCTGCATCTCTCCTCTGCGTTATAGCAGTGACTTCCGGCCGTACTTCACCATCCACGACAGCGAGTTTAAAGAGTACACCACGAGGACGCAGGCTCCGTGAGTAAAGCCGAGCACAGCAGTCTACATCTGACATCTGCTGAACTACCCTACCTTCAATTGTCTTTAAAGCAGATCATTCATCATCAGCTTTATATTTGAATGTTTTTACTGATCAATCAACCAGTGTTTGTCACTTTGTTCAAATATGTCAACAGTCAGAAATTGGACTTTAAATTACAGAAAACACTAACACTCTGTAAAGATCTAAAATCATAATTGGTCTCACCCCCTGAAAAATGTAAGTTTGTAGGAACTAAACTGTCTCCTTGTTCCTGTATGTGTGCATACATACGTGTTAGTCTATTTCTGAGTTAAGAATTGCACATCTTCACTCTCTGTTTCTACAGGCCGTCAGTCATTCTGGGAGTGACCAATCCCTTCTTTGCTAAAACGTTGCAGCACTGGCCGCACATCATCCGCATCGGAGACATGAAGCAAGCAGGTAGATGAATCTGCTGCCAGTCGAACGTGGTGTTCGTCTTTTAATGAATAAAAGAGAAATGGCATGAGCTTCAAATATATTGCAGTCCGCTACAACAGAACCTTTAGCCCCATAAAGGATAGATGTATAATGTAGAAGCCCCTTTCCATGTGGGTATGCTTCTCCACTACATCTATTGTCCTTTTTACTCCATTTGGCTTCACGCACTTTCATTCTTCCTCCATTCCTTCAACCAAATCTGGTGTTTTATATAAGAATTGTTCCTTTTGAACTGAATGGGGAAGTGTTCAAAGTTTATACAAAGTTGATCCTACAGTTAAAGCTAAATCAAGTGTTTAAAAAGGCCTCTTGGATCAGCTAGAAATGCATTCTCACAAAGATGAAAACATTAAAGGGCCCATGTCATGGCCATTTCCACTGATCATAATTCCATTGTTGAGGTATACTAGAATAGATTTATATTGTGCATTTTTCCAAACTCACATTGGTTTCTCATACAGCATCTCTGTAAACTACGTGTATTCACTGAATTTCACTCTCTGCCTTTAACGGCTCGTTGTAGCTCCAATAGCTCCAGCCCCCACCCTCCCTGTGAGCACAGTGTGCTCTGATTGGTTGGGACGTTGTGAATCGCGCTGAGCTCCGTGGTGTTGTTGTTTCCTTGTTTAGGATACACAGCCAAACTCATCCTGAGCACACACAAAGTCACATCCGGAGTAAAAACGTGTGGCTTGATATTGAGTAAGAAAAAGGTTGATAGACGCTGTGAGAATGGGTCTGCAGGGAGAATTTTGCCGCGATCCCAACTGTCTGTTATCAGCCTGCAGCCAGGGAGGAGAAATCAGCTGAGCTGCCTGCTCCCTGCACACAGATGTGTGTGTGAGGAAGTCCGTGGATTGGTCAATTTGGACCAATCAGCGGGGGCTTAACTTAAGGGCTCCGCGGACGTAACGGCTCCACGGATTGGTCCATTTTGTTCCAGGTACGGCTTGACATCAGGCCGTACCCGGAACTAAATGGAAGAATCAAATGGGCAGTGACGTATCTCCAACGAGGCGTTTTGGGGAGGTATTTTCTGTGTTAGAGTTTTACTCGCTACAGGGTGTACTTTGAGGGTTTTGACTCTGCACACCGTTTACATGCATAAAAACCTTCATAACACACAAGGGGACGGGTAATAACCGGAAAAGCATGACATGGGAGCTTTAATACAACAGTAACATTAATCCAAAAACATCATATCATTTTTTTGTTTGTTCACAACATGTAAAGTGGCCTTGGGTCCCTTGAAAGGCGCTATAATAAATGTAATCTATTATTATTATTATTATTATTATTATTATTATTATTATTATTATTATTATTATTATAATAACAATTAGGTGATAGCAATATGATATATATTTTTTTTCTCTGGTAAGATTTTGAATGCAGGACATTTACTCGTAATGTAGTATTCTTAAAGGGCGGTACTTCAGTGAAGGATTTGAAAATATCTACATGATGTTTTTTTACTGTACAGCTGTAAGTCAGATGTTGGGTAACACAAAATCAACCTGTCTGATCTTTCCATCTGGTCCTCAGGAGAGATGGCCAAGCAGATGAAAGTCAAGAAACTGAAGAACCTCAAAACTCTGGACTCTAAACCCGGTAAATGCTTGATGGGCTCAGTCTGGTGTGTTTTTCAGTACAAGTATTTCACTTTTAAAGGTAGGGTAGGTAAGTTTGAGAAACCGGCTGGAGATACACTTGTTATATTCCATGGAATGCTCTTAACATCCCGATAGCAATGAATATCTGAAGTGCTTTGACAAAAAATCCATAAAAAAATGTCATCTGTGGAAGCCGTAGTACTGTTAAAAGCACGACCAATCATTTTAGCCGGCCCGTCTAAAATAACTGGATGGCCTACCTGCCTGTCAGCCTTCCATCTGTGCACAAACTTATCTCGTGCCCTCATTGGTCATGTGCGCGTTTGTGTGTGTTGGAGGAGGGGCTCTGTAAGGAAGTGGCAGATTTTCTCCAGCTGTGTATTTTCAAATTCTAGCGCACTTGAGCTGGTTTCTCAAACTTACCTACCCCACCTTTAATGTGAAGCTACTCAACAGTGTGCAACTCATTCACAATAATTACATTTATGAGGCAGCTGTCCACCAGAGGGAGCTGTTGAGTTCAGTCAGTTTCTTTGTGTTGCAGGTGTGTACACTGCATATAAGCCATATCTTAACAGAGATGAAGACATCATCAAACAGCTTCAGAAGGTAACACACAAGGACACTAACATTTATTGTTGGCCAATATTCAGTTTTTTGGGTAAAATATCTATTGTGGTTCAAACTAATCCTCCTTTTTCCTGTCCAGATCCCTCACACTGAATATGAGTTGTTGGGCCTTTTCAGTGTTTTCTATCTTGTGTAGTGCTGGAGTTACAGTTGTAAAAAAGGAGAGCAGCCTCATATTTCATACATTATGTTTTTTGGTTTTTAGGGTGTTCAACAAAAGAGACCCTCAGCGGCCCCAAAACGCAATTCTTCGACGCTACTTCTTAGAACTGACACAAAGCTTCATCATTCCCCTGGTAACAAACAATACCTTTTATTCTATCTTCTCATTTGTGCAATTGTTATTGTGTAATAGTGACGTTGTTTTGTCTTTGTCAAAAATAGGTTTAAAACAACCATATTGAACTTGCATGTTACAGTATTGTGTTTTTCTTATATGATTTTTGACTTTTGCAGTACCTGATTATTTGACTTTCCATTACCATGAGTATTGTTATGCACCACAATACCATGGACACATGATTTTCTGTGAAAATAGTGCTGATTTAATATGATTTAACAGTGTGTATTTGTGCGTTTCAGGAGCGGTACGTGGCGAGTCTGATGCCGCTCCAGAAGTCCATCAGTCCCTGGAAGAGTCCTCCTCAACTGAGAGCGTTCATCTCGCAGGACTTCATGAAGACGCTGGAGAAAGCTGGACCTCAGCTCACATCCAGACTGAAAGGAGACTGGATAGGACTCTACAGGTGTGCACGCATACAAAGCCTTCAATTAAAGACAGTTCTTTTTGATCAATTATTGTTTTAAAGTTCATCACACTCAGGTTTACATATACACAGTAAAATCATTTCAATTGTAACAGAAGAGCAATGAGAGCAAAACTATTGTAATAACTTTCCAAAATCTTTACTATAAATACACAAAAAATAAAATACAATAAGAATAGGATTTATTTCTGTGAATAGAAATATGTGCAGTATATTTGAATACAAATGTACGTCATAAGGAAAACTTCGTATTATTGAAACCTAGGTTTTAAAAAAGCAGTCTATAAATGAACGGATAAGAGTATTACAAATTGATAGCAGAGAAACACATCACACCCTGAGCATCATGTGGACTCATCGTCATTTCCCTCTGCGTCTGAAGGAATTTCCTCAAGGCTCCCAACTTTGACGGCTGGTTCCGCAACAGGAGGAGAGAGATGACCCAGAAACTGGAGGCTCTGCACCTGGAGGCGCTGTGTGAGGAGGTGAGGAGGGAGGGAGGGAGGGAGTGTGAAGATCGAGTACAGTCTGGATTTTGTCTCGATTGTAAATCAATCAAGGTAAGCTTTCAAATTTGATCCTCGGAAGAGAAAATACTGAAAGAATCACTTATCCTGCTTTAATCTCTTCACAGCACACCTTCTAACAACAGTAGGCGTAGCCTACCTGTCGTCTGCCGCTGCTCTTTTCCTTACCGTATATCATAGAGGAGGCGCTTGTTTTGTCCATGTTTATCTATTCTAAGTGTTCTATATCCAACAGACAATATCATAACACATACGGAAAATCCCATTTGTGGGAGCAGATCAGCCGGGCCATAACTGAATGTTGCCAACTATGTGTCTTTTACTTTTATCGCCATATGGGATGTTTCCGATAGCTCTACCTCCTCAGATTGATCGGTGAAGCTCATTCATTGGAGAATTGTGACACCACAAGTGGACTAAAACATTTCTATCCATCACACTCCGTCCTTACAGTCGGGGTGTCTCGTCTTTATCCAGGGTTTTTCATTCAATTAGTCTCTGAAATATCTCATCCTCTGTTCTAGGATCTGCAGCAGAGAGTCCAGATGCACTCGGAGGTGGAGACGGTAGATCTGGTTCTGAAGCTGAAAGATAAACTGGTCAGTACAAAACTCAACCAAAGCTCTTATCAATGCGTCACTGTGGATTTCAAATGACTTGTACTAATAGAATGAACTGTTCTCTACTGCAGACTCAGGCGGAGAGGGAGCAGCTCCCCGTGCGTCCGGGGACCGTGGCCAAGCTGAGGGCCCACATTGATGCCGTCATCCTGGCCCTCCCAGAGGACCTGCAGGGTATCCTCCACAAGCCCTCCACACCCTGACCCTTTCTCAGTGCTCTGCAACTATAACCCCAGTATGAGCTTGTTTTAAAGTTTGAGGGGTAGTGGGTCTCTTCCCAATTGGCTCCCAGGATCGGTGAAGGGCCCCCCAGGTTACTCTGACCGGGCCCAGTGTGAGGATCTCATCTGGTCTTGCATTGAAAGCACACAGCAAGTTTTTGTTTCCTGAAATATACATTCAACCTTTAGGTTTATTTACAAATGTTTCTCTCAATTTGCTCCCACGGCGGCTCAGTGGGATTCAGACTGAACCCATCCCTCACGTCTTGGTGATCGTGGGGCGTTCAAATGACCAGCAGGAGGAGGCCGAGGAGCGCCATGAAACAAGCAATTAAAAAAGTTGAGGAGGTTTATCGTCCTGGTGACTTTAAGTAAAGAACAGGAGCGCTTGATTTGTCACAGATTTGCTCTTGCAGCATGCAGCGTAATACCAGAGCCTCTTCTGTGTGCAGAATGATTTGAAGGTAGGAGCAGGAAGATGAACCCAGCTGACCTTTGACCCTCAGCATTTTTACCTCTTGAGGTTTTTACTTTTTTAAATTTGACAATAGACTGCTGCAGTCCAGTGGAATTTACTCTTTTCAACCATTTAAATATAAACAAAAGTGTTTTTTAAAGAAGTGCACTTCATCTCTCCCTGGAGCAGTGTGCCCTTCACACACACAGACACACACACACACTTTTACAAACAATGAGCTAAGCCAAGCAGTGCTTTATTACAACACACACAGAGCATTAAGCACCAGCGACCCTGTAATAACTGTCCATGCGGTATAACGATTATTGTTTTGTGTTGTCAGCAGCCAATCACATCCATGTATACCTGTCACATGATCTTATCAGAACTGTCTGAGGGAAACATTTCAAATGGTCCTGAGATGTTCAGAAATCTTGCCGTGGGCCATTAGATGTGTATTTTTTGGAAAACTGAATCCAAACTTTTAGTCTTTACAGAAACAAAAGAAAGTATTTCGCCGGACTGTAAAACTATAAAATCCCAGTTTGCAAAGAAGCTTATGAAATGTTTGAGATATAATTATAAGACAGTTAAATATACTAAATGTAAGACGCTATGTTTAATATTTTGAATTATGAGATGTTAAGTCCCGATTTTGGATTTGAAATTGAAAACTCAGAAGTTGTAAATATTAAGAAATTAAGAAAGTTTTTGTGAAAGTCAAAATGTGTGCACACGAGTTTGTGAAGTGGGAATTCCAGTCAAGTTGGAGAAAAAGTAAAGAACGCATACAAAATTCTCAATTTCTGGAGCACATTGCAGGCGTTATTTTTATTTTTAAATAACCAAAACTAAATAATTCTGTCATCATAAATGAAGCATTATTTATTTCCATACATTATTCAGAGCGTCAGGCATCCTCCATCTCCTAAACTTGGCTTACTTCCAGTAAGGAAACATTCTGGAAATTGGGGGAATACACAACAACAAAGAAAGCAGGTTAAAAAAAGAAACCGTGACATATTTCTGAGTTTAGTAACCATTATGGATTCTTGTGTGCATTCAACAAACACTACAGCTAGCATTGTTCAAACTGAGCGTTATGATTTGGGCTGGTGCCTTACTGTACAGGAGGGAGAGCAACACATACTTGATGAATGAATCTCACTCGAGTTCCTGTGAAGATGTCATGAGCTTATTTAGCTTCAGCTCAAAGCTCAGTGATTGTTTTTACTAACTGAATTGACTTGCTGAAGAAACGCTTCTGACAAACACTGATCAGGCATCTTGATCAGGATCGTCTATGTTGCCTTCAGACAAAAACTATGGCTGAAGTGTGTTATTTAATTTGTAACTACACCGATGCATTGTTTAAACTTCAAACCTAGAAAGAGAAAGTACAAGTACCCCAACAAATGATTGTCTAATATAGGAATAATGAGCACTGCTGGGTCTTTTACAGCATCATATTTGAATGAATAACTGCTTATCATATTCCACTGACATAGAAACACTTCAGACTACATTTTTGGATTCAGTGGTTTCAGGAAAAAATCAATTCAATCATGTTTACAGAACTATAGCTGAACAATGACAGGTTAATGTTACTGGCCATTTATTAGAATAATTGAATAAGATCTTGCAGCTGGCTAAATTGTACACGTCATGGACATTCCTGGGCACCTAACAATGTAAAACATTAACAAAAAGTATCTATAATGAGCAATAACAGGACATTTAACTGAATACGGTTATTTGTATTTTCAGAGTGTGATGACATAAGCATTTTCTAAAACTGTAATTAGTGGTCCCACTTGACTGCAATTACAGTAAGTGTGTGTGCATTTCAAAATACCACTTGTTTCAAACATTTTAAATGGACTTCTTGTCAAAAATGTGGATTGTGTTTTTTTCCTTTAAGCCTTCATGTAAAACATACAGTAAATGCTGTCTTGCAGATAATTGCAAAGAAAAATAACTAAATGATGTGATGGTTGAAAAAACCTGTGGCATCTGGGCAACCATGTAAGTTTTATATTTGTAAAGAAAACTTTTATTTTATGGAGGGCTAATCTCATATTCCACATTACTAATTGTAGATAATTCAGAGTTTTGTACATGATGGTGTAAAGCGAAATGGTGGCCCAGATGTACTATGTACAATAATTATTTTGCTATTACAACAGATTATAAATAGTGATACTCCATACAATTGTAATTCACCTTTCTTGGGCTGATAAAAACGATTTTGAGACACCTTGACATTCTGAATTTGTAGTATTTTCTAGTTATAAGATTTCGGCTGAGCCTAAAATATTGTGATTATAATCCCAGAAAAATATCAGAAAATTAAGCAAAATGGTGATTATGATTTACAATAACTGATACAGTACGTTTGAGGTTAAAACACGAGATGACGGGCAAGAGCAAAAACACCTAAATGAAGTATTACAACATTTTACCATATTAAAAGTAAAACTAATTACTAAAGCACAGTTGTTTTCTTTCAGTCTTGAACTTTTCCATTTAACAGCAATACATCTTTTTTTTTAATTCCATGGTATAACTATCAAATTATTTTTATTGTTACATTAAATAAGACACTACAAATTCATAATGTCAGCGTAAACTAAATAAGAGCCCATCATGTTGCATAGCTACACATTTGACTGAAACGTCACTGTTTTTGTTTTTATTGAAGCCACTACTACTTAACCACTAAGGACCTGAAGGACCACGGTTTTAATAAAAGTATTAATAGTGTTACATGGAAATGTATGAAATTGCTCTTGTTTTCACATGATGGCCTACAGCTTGCTTTGTTTTGTAAGCATATTAAAATATGTATCAGTCTTTTGTTTACTTTATTGTAACTTGAACCTGTTCAAATATACTTACTGAGTATATTTCAGGACGTTGTTTGTTTGCTTGATTGCTTTATAAAGTATTACAATAAAATCAAACTGGCATTTTTTTACATTTTGGAAGTTTCATCTTGCTAGCTTTGCACAACACAACTTCTAATAACTTGAATATGACATAGTTATATGTTGGGCTATATATAATGTTAGCTAGTTTAGGCTTTTACTAGTGAAAGTAAGCTAGGTCCTTGAAATGTGGAAAGCTAAGGAAACTATTTAGCTTCCAAGCTAGTAGCAACAGTAGCTTTCTTTTTTAAATGAATAACATGTTACAAATAAATAAAAAAACTCTAAGGATCCAAAGGATAACAGTTCATATTTTAATATTTAGATGGCTGCTAGTAGCCACAGTAGCTTTTTGTCTGTTGAAATCATGGTTGAAATAACAGCTTTTATGAAGTGTAAGGCGCAAATTGACTTCAAGAATCTGGAGTATTATAGTTCACATTGTAATATTAAGGCCCGTTGTTTGCCCTGCTAACGTTAGCTCAGTTAGCTAAGCTGTTTATAGCTTGGTGAACCAATTGCACCAATTTCTCCGCTTTGTGTAGGCCTATTTATTGTAGTTTTCAAATCACATTTTCCCAATGGTTTTCAGGTTCTGGTCATCAATTTTATTTTCTAATTATTATTTTCTAGCTTAAATTCAAATGCATTATCTCGCTTGTCTTACACAGAAAGCATTGGTCTCTGTTCATTTCGTGAACACGATATCTCAGGAACAACTGGACGGAATTTCTTCAAATTTGGCCCAAACATCGATTTAGACTTAAGGATGAAAATGAGAAAGTGAATACGATTTGGAGAAACATGGATGTAAGCTGTGACTTGACTGGGTGGTGGAGGAATATGACCACAAGGCAGATTACAAATAAACATATTCCCATCATGTTAAACTCTTCCTTTATAACACTATCAGATGTTATATTAAATGTACAACCAATTCCAATATTGTGTAAGCCATCTCTTTATTATTAGAAATACAGATGTAAAAAGTAAAACATGTTAGTGAAAGCTTGAAATAATGATTAAATCCATGAATTAGACTTGTTTGTAGTCTTGTAAATACATGTATATGGTAATCAGCGACTTTAATCAGTTATCAGTATCATTTTATTTATGATTATTTGACTCTTCATTTAGATTTGTGAGTGATTTATTATGAAATGCAAAAGTACGGCTTTCCCACACATGCCCCTGTGTGTTTCATTAAAGCTGTACTCTGTTGTGTTCCACCTCATTAAACATATTTTTCACTCGCTTTTTCCTCCCCCTGCTGTTGCTGCTGATTGGCTGTCGAGCCTGCCACTCGTCGTCCTCCAACAGTGTGATTCCGTTGGGGGAGTAGCTGATGTAGGACCAGGTAAGGAGGGAGCCGCTGTAGGGCCTAAAAAACATGAATATATTTTCAAATGGTGGATTTAAAACAAGTCTGAAATGTTTATCAAAATTATCTTAACAATATATTTATGTATGTACATACTGTGTTTAACTACCATGGTCTGCATGAATACCTGATTCTGAGTTTATCAATCATTTATGTCTCTTACAATATTTATTCCACTATTTTATTTCTTTATGACTTTTGGTTTGTCCTTTAATATCTTATGTTGGAATACACACACACATATTTATATACAATACACAGATCAGTCCTCAGATCAGCTCACGTACCCGGAGACAGCGCCGCGGGTCATGTAGTTGAGGACATCTACTTTGCTGAGAGTATAATCCCACATCTGCACATCGGTCAGCTGACCATTGAATTCTGAAAAATCCATCACAGGCTCACCTGACGACACCCACTGAACACACACACACACACACACACACACACACACACACACACACACACACACACACACACACACACACACACACACACACACACACACACACACACACACACAGAAACAGACAAACAGCAAGTAGATCATATTAGAGGCAATGCTAAAACCCTTTTTCATAAAAACAAGAAATATTGCAGGCTTCGTTCATCTCTTAAAGTTTGTAAAAGCTTAAAGTTTGTAAAAGGTTAATGTGCCATGGTTATTGTTTTTATCTAGTTCTTAAAAAGCTCTTAACCTCTTTTATAGACGGACCTGATGCAAATTGAATTTTAAATGTGCTTCTTCATAGTGAGTTGTGGTTTATTAAACTGATTATATTTTATAGAGACCTTTATATATCGGGGATACCCAATTACATTTTTAGGGCGTGTCTCCATCTTTATATGAATAATGGTTTAATATTGTCTTTTCATTCATTGTGTATGAAAATATTGTTTTAAAAAATATATATATAAAACAAATATATATACAAATAAAATAATAATACAAATCAAATATAAATAAAGGAAAGGAGGTGGAGTTAGTGGAGAAAGTCTCCCCTGGAGAAACAAGGTGCTTAAAATATGATAGCTGCAGAAAAAATATTGCCATACGATTTATTAAAGTGCACATTATACCTGTTTATACCGAGGGCAATCACAGCCTCCTTCTCTTTGTCGATGCTTGAGCTAAGTTTTGGAAAATGGTCAGACTGCATGCCAATAATTATCTAATTAATCATGATAAATCACATATTTTAATTGTGATTAACGCCATCATTTTTAAAATGTAAATGTTCTCTCTTTTTTTTGTTCAAATCAAATACAGTCTGATTATCTAGTTACAAAAAGGCAAAACTGGGAACATTCTCTTCAGTGTGTGTGAGACTTTGTTCTCACCCGTCTAGGCAGCAGCTTCCTGATGCTGGTGTTTAAGCCGCTGAACACCTGGGCCACATACTTCACGTTGTCCACGGTGAGGCAGACTCTGCTCCAGGCTTCTGATTTGATGCCTGGCCAAAACTTTATGTTGGGTCGAAAGATCAAAGTCTGCCCACCATACGGATCCATGTCCAGAGAATACACTAGATCAGCATCACCGACTGCGAAGCGCAGAGGGTATCTGGACTGACGAAGTGTGAAGAGTGTCGTCGGGGCGTCCGTCAGGTATCGCAGACACACGGACACATCTGGTCACAGGATGATTGTTGTTGCACATTCATTAAATAAGGAACATCATAATATACATCATAATTACACTATTAAAAGAGCAGACATTTATTTCAAATGTCCACCAACTTGACAAAATCCTGTGCAGCGTTTACTTGCTGCATAAACGAAACTCTGCAAATACAAAACGCTGCAGATAAAAAAAACACTGCAGATGAAAACAGAATGCAAATTTTAAAAAAGTGCAAATGAATGCAGATAATAAAACGCTGCAGGGAGTTCCAAACACGACGGGGACACTAAAAAGTGATGCACCCATCTGGGACCGGAGCGCATGTTGACGTTCGCAAATTGTAAAGTTGGCCAACTGTGTTGGCAGAGTTATTTTTTCATAATCTTAAATCATTGTTAGTATATTTGAAATGACTAGGTTAGCTACTTTAGCTTGCTAGCTTCCAGCAGATCTGCAATGATATCTGAAGGAATCATGTGGTCACATTGTTCAAATAGGCCCATTAGACCTTTTAGTTTAGTTTCCAGTGGCAGTTATAATCCCAGCTATGTGCATCAGTGTTATGTGTCCCCTGGTTTACGTTGTGTTTTGAGCTTTTTGCAGTGATTTATTTTTTTTAATTGCAGTGTTTTTTTTATTACTTTTTATTTTATTTGCAGCATTTATTTTTTATTTGCATCGTTTTATTATTTGCAGCGTTTCGTTTCTGCTCCACTTTTTTAAAACGCTGCGCATGTTTCCTTCAGTTGGTGTGGATGTTTTGGCACATTTGTATTTTTATATTTGCATCGTTTCTGTAGCGCACTTGCACCTGTCAGCCACCGTAGATTACCATCAGTGGAACAAAAGAAAAAAGAAAAGAAAGACTACCGTATTTTCTCCTGTGACCTGTTTTATGTTTAGAAAAAGTCAATTAAAAAGAAAATTGCCTAGAAATAAAAAAAAAAATACATTTGAAGAAACATTTTGGGATGCATATCCTGACACTGTGGTTCTGTTGGGCATGTAGTTTATGAATGTACTCACCTCTAGCGTAGGGTGCTGTGGGCGGGGGGAGGGTGGTGGTGTGGTATTGGGTGGTGGTGTAGCGGCGGGTGGGGGTGGGTTTGGTGGTGTAGCGGCGGGTGGTGGTGTAGCGGCGGGTGGGGGTGGGTTTGGTGGTGTAGCGGCGGGTGGTGGTGGGGCTGTATTTCCGGCTGACGGTGGACTCTGGGATATAGGGGCGTGTGGTGGTGTAGTAGGGCGTGGTGGGGTATCTTCGAGTTGGGTAGGGAGTGGTATAAAACTGGGGGGGGTAGAAGGATATTCCCCCTGCAAACCTAGACAAAGTGAACATCTTCCCATTTAAATTAACTCCGGAAACTCCTATAGAAATCAAGAGGAAAATGAGCCACACAAACAAGTGGTTAGCATAGTATTACATCTTCATCTTACTCATGCATACTACACTGGTATACAGTTATACAGTTCTAGTAAGAGCTGATTATCTCCTGGTTGCTGCACATATTAGATGACACAACTTGGTAGAAAACTGCTCGAGAACAACAGGTGTAACTTCAACAGAATAAAGTTACACCTTCTGTTCTCGGAGACACTTTTCTACCAAGTTGAGCCATCTAATCGTAGCAAAAGCAAAATACACTAATCAGGGTACAAACAAGATGGTGGCCAGTGATGCAAAGTAACAACGTTTTGTACTCGAGTACATTTTTTAAGTACTTTCCTCTTGTATTTCGATTTATACTACTTCGTACTTTTAACCCACCAAAAGCAAATATAAAACATTTTACTAAGTACATTTATTTGAAAAGATTAGTTTCCATGTTCTTATGACTATATGATTATTGAAATGTATACAGTTCTGTTTCATATGTGTGTTTCCATCTAGTCTCTTTATTTTTTTATGCATTTAACTCCAACATTTAAAAATAAATCTTACCGGGGGGGCATGCCCCCAGACCCCCCTAGAGGATTTGAGGTCCAGCCCCAAATGTTATATGTTCACATGGATAGGTTCCCAAATACATTTGCACAGATTTTAAAATAGTAACCCATGTCCATATGTTTATTATTGGGTAGTAGATTTAAACTATAGGGCTATCACTATGGGCAGCAACGCTGTAAATATTCACAAATAAATCCAGCAAAATGGCACAAAAAAAAACTGGTAGTGGCCTGGCTGAGTGTATAATTCCCAGCCTGACTTATTGTCCCAGTCCGGCCCTGATACAGTATAATAAACCCATTGTCCCCATATATAATGAGGACGTACTTGTTTCCAAAATAACTTCTTGTTCTTCTAAGACAGTGCTTTGTTTTTGTACCTATCAGGTCACGTATCCCGTCAAATATAAAAAGAGTTCACATTTCACACCAAACTAAAGCTTGGGTCTTAATTTGGAGACAAACAAACACATCCCATAGAAGTATGTCTCTCAAAACTTGCTACACCACAAACACGCACATGCATGCACACACACACACACACACACACACGCACACGCACACACACACGCACGCACACACGCACATTTACAGAATGTTCATTAATTTGCATTGTTCAATCTTAAATCAATAAATACAAAATAAGAACACACTTGTTATCTGACTGCTAGAGTACTTTCACTTATTATGCTGTTAGAGAAGTTGCAAAAATGTCCCTCTGAAAGAAATGGTATTTGGGTTCACTTATATAACATGCATGTAAGAAGTCAATGACATGCATTACAATTGTGTGTGTGTGTGTGTGTGTGTGTGTGTGTGTGTGTGTGTGTGTGTGTGTGTGTGTGTGTGTGTGTGTGTGTGTGTGTGTGTGTGTGTGTGTGTGTGTGTGTGTGTGTGTGTGTGTGTGTGTGTGTGTGCGCATCTGTGTGTGTGCGCATCTGTGTGTGTGCGCATCTGTGTGTGTGTGTGTGTGTGTGTGTGTGTGTGTGTGTGTGTGTGTGTGTGTGTGTGTGTGTGTTGTGTCTGCCACAGTCAGACTCTGAACAATAATCCACATGGGCAACTGTGAGGTAGTGCAGCTGTCTTCCAATCGGAAGGTTGTGGGTTCGATTCCAGCCACTGCAGTCAACATGTAAATGTATCTTATATACATACTGTATGTGCTGTTTAAGTAAAAGCCCTCTTTAACCTTTTTCTTAACTTAGGACCTTTAGCCATTATGAATCCAAAGTGTGGTGCTTTCCACAAAAAAAATATTATATTCAAAAAGTATTGCATGGTAGAGAAAACTAATGTTTGTTTTCAACAGCTGACTTTACATTTAGCAAACGTCTTTCTGCTGATTTATATGACCGCACAGAGTCCCTTGATCCTCCTTAGCAACAGTCTGTTCTCTCTAGCAGTCTCAAATTTACAACCTCTGAAATGTCGTAATTGACCAATGCGTGCGTGCGTGCGTGCGTGTGTACCTGTTTCAGGCCCTGCAGCAGTAGCTGTGAGGACCCATGCAGACAGCAGAGCCGCAGCCATGTGAAGCAGCTTCATCCTCAGAGTCTCTGCAGGGAAGTGTGTGTCCTCCTCGCTGTGTGTGTTTTTATCTGTCCCTCTGCACACACCGTAGCTTGTTTATACTTTCATTTCCTGGTTCGTACGTCAGCAGCCACTTTAAGTTTCATTTCTGTGAAGCAGTCTCCCTTCCCCCTTCTCTCCCACACTCTGGTTAAAGTTGACACTAAACAGCTCAATAACAGCCTCCATTCACACTTCATTTAGATTAACCATGGTATTTACTCAATTACTTACTGTACTAACTAATGTTTATGTACTTTTACTGTACTTTAGTATTTCCATGCTATGCAACTTTATATTTCCTCTTAAATAAAAAAAAATATTATTTTGCAGTTTCAGATAATGAAAACACAATATATTCATCTAATAAATTATGATGTAATATTATAGCTATCCCAACTAAAATAATAAAAAATAGCTCCACTTTTACAACAACTTGTAATCTAATAACATAATATTTTATAATGAGTTTTTTTCACTTTTGGTACTTCAAGCCGTTCTCAATGTACAAACGTTTTTACTTCTATTTGAGTAAGATTGGATTGCACGAGTTTCCTTGTGAAATAGTGTTTCTGCATTTAAGCACGAGACATTTTTCTACCACTTTTGGAACATTTGGCACCAAAAAGCTCATCAGAGCCTTGAATCTGCACATATATATTTACTCAAGTACTTTACTTACTACTTACCGTACCGAATACAGTTTTGTGCTTGTACTTTACATTATATTAAATGCAACTTTATACTTCTTCCTAACTACAATTATTTGACAGCTTTAGTTATTTTGCAGATTCAGACAGGGAATACAAAATATAATCATCTAATGAATTATGATGTCAGATTATATACCCAACTACAGTTATTATACTTAGCTCCACTTTTACCAGCTGTGACATTTAACTGATGGACTAAAAAATGCAACAACTATAATCCTTTTTATTATTATTATTATTATTATTATTATTATTATTATTATTATTATTATTATTATTATTATTATTATTATTATTATTATTATTATTATTATTATCTTTTACATTTGTTATGATTTGTTATGATCTGTCAATTAATCAGTCAAAGTTTTGAAATGGTCCGTTCAGATTTGGTTTATGGAGTATTGCACAATCAGCGCTGACTGTGCTGTAATTACGTACGTGGAGGAAACCTAGTAACAAAGTGATGTCTCACTCTGCTGTGATTTCCCAGAACCACAAACACACCACAGTCTGCTCTCTGTGTAACAAACACCACCAAAATCATATTCTCAGTTTCTTCTCTTTGAATTTGGGTATAAATACTCTAATCTCAGTGTATTTAGTGTTTTACACCACAGCATACAATGTTGTTTTATTCCTTGTGGAACGTAACTCAGTATTTTTACTCAATTACTGTACGGCTTTGTCATACTTTTGGTTTCCTTACTGTTATAAATGTCTAATCCGCTACATTTGGGAGGCAAATATTTTACTTTTCACTGCGCTACATATATTTAACTCTCATAATTGATTTGACACATAAGAGCACATAATATGATTATATTATATATTGCAATACTGTACTCATACTAGAGCCAAGTTTTTTTATCTGTTATTGCCTCAACATCGACAACCCCATCGTAATGGTCAACATGTAAGCGATAAAACAGAATTATACAATATTTTATTTTTAATAAATTATTTTGAAAAGAGCCATTGTTCATAAAGAACTTTACTTTTGATTCGTACAGGTTGGAGGAGGCCTTAATACAGTTTTAGGCATTTATGTCAGAAATATAACTGAGTATAAAAAGAATAACTGTAATAGAAAATAATAACAGACTTATTTTTGCATTGCTCTTCGTGAACAAAAATGTCTAACTTATTCTTTAAAATGTGGATATGTTCATGCGCAGAAATCACTTTGTCATGTCATCGCCATGGTTAAAAGTAACCATCATTGACTGCCAGAAAAAAAAAAGACCTCAGTGACACACCTGACAACAGAACATCACACTGTCAGTTCTGCCAACAGCAACAAGAGGAAGAGACAAAGCTACACTTCCTGATTCAGTGCAGGAAACAAGGTCTTACTACCAAAATAAAACTCAAAAGACAATAGCAGACTCAAAAACCATGAAGTATTCACTATTAAAAACTGACCCTTACATGGAGGCAGCAATTTCCTATTAGTGTTATTCATTTGAATTATGTTCATAATTTATGTTATATTACGTTTTTTTATATATCTATCATATTATTTCATTTGATTTATTATTTTCTAATTTGTTATTGCTCAAATCTCATGAAAAGACCAAAACAAAAAATGTGTTGCTCGTTCCTTAACAGATCTCATATATATTGTTTCTTTAGATTGAATAATTCTTATGAACTGGAAAAGCTGGTCCCTGTAGTTTTGAGGAAACTTCACTGAAGCAGGAGTACATGCTGCATTTATTGGGGACTATCTTCAGATATAATCCACATTGGGTGCTCTAGTTAGTAATAGTGGTAGAATGATGGTGTGTGGTGTGTGTGTGTGTGTGTGTGTGTGTGTGTGTGTGTGTGTGTGTGTGTGTGTGTGTGTGTGTGTGTGTGTGTGTGTGTGTGTGTGACAGAGTCTCCTTATTATGCCGCTCTATTTAACCTGCCAGATCTCTCTCTATGCATTGCTTGCTGCTGCTATCGCTGCAGCTACTTCCACGTCGCTGCTGCTTGCCTGCCCCACCACCACCCCAGCTTCCACCTGTAGGCTCGGGGGGTTAGTTATTTAATCATCACTCATCGTGCTATGTATATCTGTGGAGTGATGAGGCCCGAGCCTCCGGGGCGGATCTAGACAAATATTCATGGGGTGGCAAGAGGGTGTGTGTGTGATGGAAACTTTACTTATCAATGATCTGGAGATATAATAATAATAAACAAATGGTATTCAGCAATCAAAGTTGTCTTTGTTGTTCTTTATTTGAGCTCAAAGGTACAGTTAAACAGAGTACATAAGCACGACCGGCCCACCTCGGTACCGCCGGCCCACCTCGGTAAATTATCAACAGGGGGGGGGGGGGGGGGTGCTAGTGAGTTATCCGAGCGGCCCACCTCGGTGCCGCAAGTCAATACCGCGAGGAAATGGTCGACGGGGGGGGGGGGGGGGGGGGGGGGGGGGGGGTGCTAGTGACTTATCCGAGCGGCCCACATCGTCCGACCGGCCCACTTCAGTACCGGCCCATCGGGATTCGTCCCGAACGTCCCGATGGCCAGTCCGCCCATGGGTGGGGACCTATGCAGGTGTCAGTTGCTATGCCATTGCCGTGCAGATTAAGGGTTACAATAGTCCATGTTGCACAACAGAGTGGGTCAGTTGCCGGTTCTTCTTGGTGAAACAGGAACTGTGCACTGCTCTTTTGAGAAACAGGAACTGTGTGTGATAGTGTGATAGTGACAGGAAGCGTCTGGGTGCGATGGTGTCTGACACCCCAACCCAGTTAAAGGTTAAACAAAGGTCTAGCAAGGGACATGTACTGAATACACGTGTCATCATAGAAACTGTTGCATTTGGTTTTACCATATAAAGTAACATAATAAATTGCCACTACAGGTGGCAGGAGATTTTGAGGGGTGGCATCCCCTGGCAGAAGTATATGCTGATTTAATCGCAGTCATATCAATCAATGTTAACTTGGAAAGCCACAATATTAATATTTTAACTCAATAACATAGGGGACATTATTGTGGCACATCAGTAAAACCCCCGGACCCCCCTAGAAGATTCGACGTCCACCCCCGAATTAAAGCATGTTCATACAATAATGAATACATTTGAAGCCTTTTTATATAAGCTGTCCACCATGTCAATAAGTTTCTCTTTTTGTAGTGTATTGGTCTTTTGTAGAGGGCAGCAAATTGGTCAGAACCGGCCCTGGTGTCATCCCCATAGCACCCCCCATTTGAAACATGTTCCAATCCCACGGCTACGTGTGTGATTGATTCAAAATTAAACTATTGTGTGTGTGTTTTATGGTAAGATATCATGTCAGCCAGTGCAACGGTTTGGCTCATTGATCAGTTTTGAGAATATTGGAGCCCACAAAAAAAATTCAACAAGTGTGCTTTTATTTTGAAAGTTTGTTAGGAAGTAGTGTGTTGCGGTGTGTTGTGATTTAGCTGCCACCGTGTACCGTGTTGACATCAGAACAAAGGGCAAAAAATAGCAAAGACATTTTAAACACTTTTTTGAAAGCGAACTGCAATAAAATAAATACTCCATCTCACGTAGGTGCAACAAGTGTGCCTTTATTTTGAAAGGGTGTTTGAGCGGAAGTAGTGTTTTCCGATGTGTTGTGATTTGCCACCGTGTACCATGCTGACAGCAGTGGGGATGACACTGTGGAAAACACACACACACACACACACACACACCGCTGCTCTATAAAACCACTCACACACTCACAGTAGCAGCACGAGCAGTTTGAAACTTTCTACCTGAACGATGGGAGTCATCATCTCACACATCTTCTCCAGATTCACCTCCAAAACACCTGTCAGGATCTTAATGGGTGAGAATGTCATTTTTTATTTTGTTTATTATTGTTAATAGGCCTATAATTGTTATTATTATTATCATCGTTGTTGTTGTTATTCTGTTCTATTTAATTAAATGTAATGTGTTGATATTTTGCTCTCATAATAATAATAATTAAAATAAATAAAGTAAAGTTAAATGAATTGCTCTTTTCTATGTTTATTCTTATCATTTAAGATTTTATTTTCATTCCTTCTTTTTCTTTATTTTAAAAACTTGTAGTTTTCAGCTCTCGTTTAGTATTTTTAATTGTGTCTGAGGTGATATATACTTTTATTTTTTGTCAAAGTAAACAAAAAGTCTAGAAGAAGTACATACTACGTAGTATTAATAGCAGTTGCTAGTGGATGCTCTAGTTAGTAATAGTGGTAGAATGACTTACTTAAGTAAAAGTATTAATAAAGTACAGAAACATTTACTATTTTGTATGTGTGGAGGATGTTGAAGTTTGCTTTTACTTTATAGTAAGTAAAGGTTCTGAATACAGTTTGTATAACAATGTTTTGCCTTTTTTCATGTGTGTGTGTGTGTGTGTGTGTGTGTGTGTGTGTGTGTGTGTGTGTGTGTGTGTGTGTGTGTGTGTGTGTGTGTGTGTGTGGTGTGTGTGTGTGTGTGTGTGTGTGTGTGTGTGTGTGTGTGTGTGTGTGTGTGTGTGTGTGTGTGTGTGTGTGTGTGTGTGTGTGTGTGTGTGCAGTGGGTCTGGATGCAGCAGGTAAAACCACTCTGCTGTACAGACTGAAGCTGGCCGAAGTCGTCACCACCATCCCGACTATAGGTCAGTGTTTACATGAATTTACGCTTACATATAATGCATATAACATAAAAACGATATCATAAATTAATTGTGTGTGTGTGTGTGTGTGTGTGTGTGGTGTGTGTGTGTGTGTGTGTGTGTGTGTGTGTGTGTGTGTGGTGTGTGTGTGTGTGTGTGTGTGTGTGTGTGTGTGTGTGTGTGTGTGTGTGTGTGTGTGTGTGTGTGTGTGTGTGTGCAGGTTTTAACGTGGAGACAGTGGAGTATAAGAACATCAGTTTCACAGTGTGGGATGTTGGTGGTCAGACTATCATCAGACCTCTGTGGAGACATTACTTCACCAACACACAGGTAATACCTACTACTGATACTATTGACTTTTTTAGATCTTTATTTATATATAAGTAATTTAAAGGTCCCATGTCATGGCCATTTCTAGTGATCATAATTCCATTGTTGAGGTCTACTAGAATAGATTTACATTGTTCAATGTTCCAAAATCACATTGGTTTCTCATACAGCATCTTTGTATAGTATGCGTTCGTTAGCAAAATGACACCAGTAATGACAAACAGATGAGAATGCTGCGTGGGGTCTGGGTGCCGTGTTGGCGGGACGTTGCGGGGCTCGCTGCTCCGCCCTTTGAGGCTCGAGGAGCGGACAGTGTGAGCTCTATTACTGGTGTCGTTTCCTGGTTGCTGCGTGGGGTCTGCGAGACAGCGAGACACCGCGGAGCTCAGCCTGAGCACACACACACACTCACAGCCTGATAAAAGATAAGGCTGAGTGAGTGTGTGTGTGTGAGGAGCTCCACGGATTGGTCCATTTGTCTCCAACGAGGCGTTTTGGGGCAGCATAGACAGGTCTTTTCAGGGTGTACTTTGAGGGTTTGTGACTCTGCAGACCGTTTACATGCATAACAACCTTCATAACGCACAAGGGGACGGGTAACAACCAGAAAAGCATGTCATGGGACCTTTAAAAAAACAAAAAACAAGATAACCCAGCAAACAAAGGTGGCTTCATGTTACTGTATTGTGTATTTCAATGAATATATATGTTTTATTCCGTCTGTCTTCAGGGTCTGATATTTGTGGTGGATAGCAACGACCCCGAGAGGATTAAAGAAGCTGCTGACGAGCTGCACAGGATGGTACCCTGCTCACTTTATTTATTTTGTAACACACAAGTTCAGTTTATGCCTGTATGATGTTAAATCTTTATTTTTTTAAATACAATTATTGTATTTATTCTTAATTTAATTTGATCTTTAATTACAGATTTTGTATTTATTGATTTTTAAACTTTAAAGTTATTTCTTAATTTTTCACCTTTTATTCTAAAATGGAACTGTAACTCAATTCAATTCCCCCAGCGGATCAATAAAGTATTTCTGATTCTGACTGTTATTAAACATGAGAGGAAGATGTTTGATTGGTTGTTTCATGTGTTGCAGTTGGAGGAGGATGAGTTGAGGGGCGTAGCTGTACTGGTGTTCGCTAACAAACAGGATTTACCCCGAGCCATGTCTGGCAGTGACATCACCGAGGCTCTCCGCCTATCAGGAGTCTCTCAGCCGGTGAGTGTTACTTTACCTGTTCAAACATCAGATCTGATGCAGTGCGTCCCATTTACAGATGCAAAAAGTAAATCATGGAAATGAATGATTGTACTTATAGCTATATAAACAATTATTTCACTTTTTCTCTTCCAGTTCCAAATTTGGTGAATTAAACGTAAAGTTAAAAAAGGGTTTTAACCTGAAAATAATTTCAAATATAAGTGAAATGTATGACTGTATGTCTGAAGTAAAACAAAAAGTGTACTCAATACATTACACCGGGAGGATTTTCTTTCACAATCCGGGTCAATGATTGGCATCAACATTTATTTTAATGCTAAAAATGTTGTGCACTAAACAAGGAAAATGAATATGCACCACATGGCAAACATTAGAAAAGGTTTCACTCTGGTGGAAAATAGTCAAAAGTAAACATGTTCAAAGTAAAGACTCCAGATGTAAAGCCTGAGATATAAATATGTTATACTGTAATGGCCATTGGGATTAATAAGTGTGGTTTTGATTTGTCCTTAATAGTAAATGAATATATTTGGGTAATGCAGTTTAATATAGACTTATTATTAGAGCCGATTGAGAATTGAAATTGAAAAGAAAATACAAAAATATCACCGGTGAGTTACAAGTGTCATAACATTTCTTGTTGTGTTTATCCGGCAGCGCATGCAGACACAGCGATGTGTTCATGAAAATCTGATTTATATTAACCTGCAGCTTATTTGTGTGTGTGTGTGTGTGTGTGTGTGTGTGTGTGTGTGTGTGTGTGTGTGTGTGTGTGTGTGTGTGTGTGTGTGTGTGTGTGTGTGTGTGTGTGTGTGTGTGTGTGTGTGTGTGTGTGTGTGTGTGTGTAGTGGTCTGTGCAGGCGTCCTGTGCTGTCAGTGGGTCTGGTCTGGTGGAGGGTCTGGACTGGCTCTCAGACCAGATCCTGAAAAAGTAGACGCTGATGTGAACTCTCAAACAGGAAGTCTGGAATGAACCTGGAACGAGGCAGAAAATCCTGGAGCAAAATAAAAAATCCCTCACATAGCTTTTCAAAATCACCTATCTGAACTTTTTAAAGAGGCTCTATCATGCTATTTGGGGTTTTCCATTTCCTGTAGTGTGTTATAAAGGTTTGTGTGCATGTAAATGGTCTGCAGAGGCTCAAATCCCAAAGTTCCTGGGATTTTACTTCTGTAACATAGTGACATCACTACATAACACTCACGCTTCTATTGGCTAGCGCTCCAACACATTGTAGGTGAAAGGCTAATAGGTGGGACATTTCTAAGTGGTTGACCAATCACAACAGAGCCGGCCAGCTAACCAATCAGAGCAGACTGGGCTCTGGTTTCAGACAGAGGGTGAAAAGAGGTGCTGCAGCACAGGCAGTAGTAATGTAAAGTAATGCTTGTTGAACATTAAAGCATGGAGACATGTCCCAGGAGAGACACTAAATACTGATATGAACCTGAAGATGACAGAATATGGCCCTTTAAAAGCAGTGCACATTTTCAATTTCAATATCTCAATCTGCTTTCACACTACAATGGAGGTTATTATCTGTGCATGTTCAATCAACTCAGATTTATGATTTAAACGTTGTTTTTTCTATCACAAAAGTTAACTCATAGTTTGTGGCAATGAAAATACATTTCGGACGTAAAAACCAATAAAGCAACAAAAAAAAAAGTGCAATTCAATAGTGCATGATACATGATAGTGCAAGTAAAAGACAGCAATTCCAAAAATATATACATACAAATTGAATAAGATTGAACAATGTTAAATGAAATGCTCTTAAGTAGGATACATACTGTGTATACTGTAGTATTATATACAAATGTGGATATGTGAAATTAAGATGTGTGTATTATAAAATATTGTCCTGCATACTTTATCATTTTCCAAGGAAGGCGTTGACGTGTTATATTGTTGCTACTTGGATAATCAGCTCAGGAAGCCCTTTTCTATTTTCCACATGTTATGTTAGTAAATCTTATTGATAATGTATTCTTGTATATTTTTAAATGGTGATGTATTTTTTCTATAATAAAGTTGGTCTTATGACAGATTGTGTGTTTGTTTGATTTTAAATACAGACTGTATAGTAATCCTTTGAAAGGAATAGTTTTAATTTTAAATATTATGTAACTACATTCTCCCAATCCCATGAGATACATTAAGTAATAAATAAAACCCAAAGGTTGGTTTGATGTGAAAAACCTCATCAGATGACACAGGCGGGTGGAGTTAGTGCTTTTATTTGTCACTGAAAAGCCTTTTTTTTTTATTTTATTGTTCATTACACGGAACAATTTTCACTAAAACATATTTACAGTTTAACATCATCGTGTTTTCCCGCGTCAGCAAAGTAAATGCAGCTCCACTTCAGCTCGAGTTCTTCACCAGGTAATAGCAACAAAACACTCTGCCCAAAAGAAAAATAACTCAAATAAAATAAAATAATCATCAGTTTACTTAGGCTCCCCACAGGAGGCGGTGACCTCTAACTTTAACAACCCTGCATTTATTCTTCCTAAATGCTGATACATACAACATATCGCTCAATCATTCTGGATAAAAAGACAGATTCATGAAAAACACCCTGTGAAAAACAGGAAAGGCCCCAAACAAATGACACAAACATTTTGTAAAAGCACAGATAAATAATGTGACGTCAGGAGAAACTGACTCAGCTCAGGAATTAGCAGAAAGTTTGTGTTTAAATGTTAGATTTCCTTCAAAGTTTCTGAATGGGTCAAATGTACCAGCTTATCAGAAGACAAACAAATAAAAACGTGTGCTTTCAGTTCCCAGATCCATCTTTAGGAGAAAGAAAGAAGAGCGAGGCATCTGCGGCTCTCCTGTGATATGGTCATTATTCATCAGCACTACCGTCATGCAACTAGTCATTTGGTTAGAGGCAGATAGGGTACTTCTGGAGTCAAAACCTTCATATAAAGTGTTGAATATCAGATTTCCTTTGCAGTCTCCTGTGCCTCCAGACTCCAGTCCAACATGCTGATGCACATCCCATAAAAACAGCATGAGATAAAAACATGACTAATGATATAGTTAGTTTTCTAGATTAACCACAAACCAAACCTGAAACACTGAAAAGGAGGAATTGTGAAACATAACAGTTAATATTGACACTGAAGCCTGTTAAAAAGTGCTTTTTTTCTTATTTTCTCCTAAATAAAAAAGGGGTTTTGGCCAAAAACGTTCACTATGGATAAAGTCCATACAATTGCAAAAATAACTGCAAGCATGATCTGTGTTTCCATACAGAGACCTGATATGATGATTTCACGATCAATGAACTCAAACATCAGGCACAAACTGGCCTGAAAGTGTTGGTATTTATCCTATAATTAACTTATGAATGCCAGTTTGTGTGTATGTTTGACTTTAAATACAGACTGAACTGTAACAATTGTTAATAATCCTTTCAACGGAATCATTTTAATTATCATTTACCCAGGGACTTCCAACCGGGATGAATACAAAAAAAAAAAAAGGTTATATATATCGACAAAACCACATTGATATGTTAATATGAAATCTTCGAGACGCAACTTTAACCAAGATTTTTGTTTTGTATTCGTGTATTTTCCACCAAATTCAGGCCAATTCTGCAATAAAACCAACACATCGATGCTGAATGGATGATGATGTAGACCTCTGAATGTGTTTCTCTTTAAGAAAGGAGAAAAATAAGCTTGGAAGGATGCTTCAAAACAAACAGGAAGGACAAAATAAGACTTCCTCCCACACTATTTCACCACTGAGGTATTCAATGTCCTCAGAGAAACCTTGGATATCTGGCTTTTCTCTCTCACAGATCCCAAACCCCTTTGTCTTAGCCGTTAGCCCTTTCTTTAAAATAAAATAAAAATCAGAACCTGGCAGGTTAAATCTATATTTGCGTTTTTTTCTGGAAAGTGAAGCCAGTATAAAAAGCTGCGTTATTTTACACACAGAAGAATAAAACACATAAGTCTGTGACGAGACGTTTCCCCTCCACATCTTGTAGTGTGAGGGTGCGTTTAGTTTAGTCCAGCAGAGAGGGAGCGCTTGTTTTGCACTCCCAGGCAGCGTGGGAGGGCGGGTGGTGTTCCCCTCCTCTGATTCCTGAGCTGTTGCTTCGATATTACCACCTGGGAGTCAGCTTAAAACGCTCCGTTAGCTCTCGTTAGGCTTCAGACTCCCCCTTCTTCTTCCCCTCCTCTCCGGCGTCGCTGTCCTCTGATTGGCTGTTGCTGAGCACGAGGAACTGCTCGTCAGCGGCGGGTGGGTTGCCGGGGCGACTCGAGGCGGCGATCAAACGGCTCTGCTCCTCCAGATCCTGCAGGACAACAAACACAGCTCTCAGGTTAGAGATCATGACGATAGTGTTGTGAAAATACAATGCAATCACCGAGCTTACATTATTCATATCTTCATCTTCCATAGAAACAATTATTAGATCTGTCTATGAAACAATCTGCAGATTAAATGATGGTTAGTTCATTTGTGAAATAACCTGCAGAGGCCACATATAAATGAAACATAAATATAGTATACTTTATAATATTGTGTTAAAATGTTAGATTTCTTTTGAACGGATATCAGAGCAGAGGAAAGCATTTCAGAAGACTAAAGCTTTTTTCCTTCAGTTTCCAAAATGGAGAAAAGTCAACAAAACGATAAAAGTGTGATTTGTGTTTGTGTTTATAAAATCATATCCACAAATTAAATATCTAACACTTTTGTGAAATTACATAAAAAAGTTCAAGCTTACATTATAGTAGATTCCCATAGGATTTTCCATACCAAACAATTATCTGATTTATTTAGAAAATAACCAACAGAATAATTTCATGTCAAATGTATAGGGTATATCTATGTCTGCGCAGAAAAGGTGATCTCACGGGTTTTCCTATCCAGAATAACTTTTCAGTTTAGGCTACAGGTCACCTTCTCGATCTGCTTCTGTTTGCTGAGCTCCTCCTGCTGTTTCTCTTTGGCCTTGTCGGTCTCCTTCCTCTTCTCCACGGCCTTACGGTCCTGAACAACAAACACAGCGAATATTATTCCCCTCCACAACACCACCTGAAGACAGCAGCATCACAGTGTAGTGAGATAGATTATCTTCAGTGTATTGAAGTTTGAAAATCAGTCTCACCATCTCAGAGTGGAAGGCTATCTGTTTTGCCAAGCCAACGCTGTCGCAGATCTGAAAGAAGTGAAGAAGAAAGCGCGTCAGACAGACACAGTGTTGGACAATAACAGATGGATAGACGGACAGCGGACGACCTTCTCTCCGTCGTTGTTGGACTCGAAGATGTAGCAGACGGCTCGGCTGTCCCCCGGCTCGCCTGCAGGCAGCAGGACCAGACCAAACAGCCTCTTGTTGTCCTGATGGGATGAACACTGGAGCACCGTGCAGAGAGGGAACTGCAGCAGGAGAGAGGAGGAGGACAAATGAGTACAAATCATTGGAAATAACAATGTTGTAACCTAAACCTATCTGAACAGAGATCCTCTCACCCTGAGTCGAGTGACTTGCGTCTGAGGATCAATGAGTCTGAAACAAAAAACAAACACATGTTACTGCACAGAAAAAGTGTTTCTAAGTAAGAAATGAGACACATTCATATCCTCTCTTCAGGAAGTCATGCTTCCATTATCATTAGCACTTCTAAATGTTGGTATTCAGGAAAATAAAACATTTTGATGGAAACATTAGCAAAAGCATAAACGGTTCACAGAGAGAAAAGTCCACTCAGTGCAGACGCAGTTTATATGTTTTTGTTTTAAACATTAAATAAACAGATCTATTCATTTAGTAATCTTTTAATTAAATTATTTTATTTTTTATTTTGATCGCACATTTTGAGTTCCACCACAATCATTTTCGTAAAATATATATTTGTTAGATGATGAACTGAAATATGTTACAATAAAAATATGGTGGCTATTTCTTTCTTTTTATGAACAACACCGAATGTAGTTCTTGTGTGAATGGGTGTTGCGACATGATTATTCATTCCCAATCTTTTTTTATTTAAAGGTCCCATGTCATGCTTCTCCGGTTATTAACCATCCCCTTGTGTGTTATGAAGGTTTTTCTGCATGTAAACGGTCTGCAGAGTCACAAACCCTCAAAGCACACCCTGTAGTGAGTAAAACTCTGACACAGAAAAGACCTGTCTATGCTGCCCCAGAACGCCTCGTTGGAAATTTCATTTTTTCTTCCTGGTATCAAGTGACGTAACGACGACCACATGGACCAATTGGTCCAAATGGACCAATCCGTGGAGCTCCTCACACACACACACACACACACACACTCACTCAGCCTTATCTTTTCTCAGCCGCAGCTGCGTGGATCTCCACTCACAGTTTGCCACACACTCACGTGTGTGTGCTCAGGCTGAGTTCAGGCTGAGTTCAGGCTGAGTTTCGCCGTGTCTCGCAGACCCCACGCAGCAACCAGGAAACGACACCAGTAATCCAGCTCACACTGTCCGCTCCTCGCAGCAGCGAGCCCCGCAACGTCCCGCCAACACGGCACCCAGACCCCACGCAGCATTCTCATCTGTTTGTCATTACTGGTGTCCTTTTCTGGTTGCTAACGCCATTGTAACACATAAACACACATCAGAGCACAGTGGGCTCATAGGGAGGGGGGGGGCAGGAGCTCCAACAAGCCGTTTAGGACAGAGAGTGAATACAGAGATGCTGTATGAGAAACCAATGTGAGTTTGGAACATTGAACAATGTAAATCTATTCTAGTAGACCTCAACAATGGAATTATGATCAGTAGAAATGGCCATGACATGGGACCTTTAACACCATTTTCGGAGTAAAGGGAAAAAGTAATTCCCTTTTTTGTAAAAATATCAACATTTTGGAGTAGGCATATTGTGGCTGTAATGAACCCTGCAGCCTCTAGAGGGGGCTCCTTAGACTGAAAACACTAGAGCTCAGTCCTACTTGAGGCAGTCGCAGGTGACCAGCAGGTGGGACTCGGTCATCCTGAAGATGTTGTGGATGGCTCTCGCTGCCAGGATCTGCCTCATGGTCTCTGAGATGATGTCCACTGACTCGGGGGTCTTCACCTCCATGGAGCCCAGGAAGCGAACGATGAAGAGCTGGTGGAGGATCGAGTCTGGACAGCAGACAATAAGACTTCCATCACACACCAATCAATTTCACTGAAAAAAACTCAAGGAAGTGAGCTGCTTTTATCCAAAGTTAACCAGACAAACATGTACTTAAATAACCAAGTTGTTCTTATCTGAAGCATTTGTTTTATAAAACTAAAACATTGTGTTACAACAAATACCTTTCACTTTAGACCAAGATTATTACCGAGAATGGCCAATGGTGCCCTTTGAGGCCTACAAGGGAATAAAACCCTCTTCAACCACAAATCTTAGTTAAATTAGATGTTCTTTGTCTCTGGTCCACAAGGGGCAGTAGTGAGCCAATCAAAGTTTGTCTCACAAGTATAGCAGAGAAGACAACACTCTCTAACTTGCTTAAAAATTTACCAATAGATACAAAATAGAGGAAATTTTTTTTTTTATTTGAATAGTATGAAGTATAGACCGATGTTACCTTCACTGTCCTCTGAAGTGCTGTCACCTGACTCTCCAAACGGGTTACTCCTCCTGTGGACAAACACACAAAATCAAACACAACCCTTTTTTTGATCGATCTGGTGCTGAGCAGAATTTACGAGTCGATGTCCCATACCTGCCGGACTGTGCTGCCGTCTTGCTCTGTCCTGAGTTCTCCTCGGTGACGGGGGATATGATGTCAAACTGGATTGGTGTTTCCGGGGCGACCAGGGCGTCCAATGAGAGCACAGAGAGGGCCGGCGACAGCTCGGAGCCGACAGAGCTGATGCTGCTAGCTCGGCCCGCACGCCCTTTACTGGAATAATGACCAAGAGAGATTAATGAAGTTATTGGTGGAGGTCCAGAGGTCCTACCACACTACTTTATGATTTTGGAAGGTTAAATGTTATCACCTTAGGTGATAAACTAACTACAGCAAGGTTGCATGACTTCATATCACCACCGCTTAGCTAAAGGTGGGTCATGCTTGGTGTAATGATGATGAGCAGTCTCATTTAGACAGTTCTTAGCAACCGCCGTTTTTAGGACAAATGTATTTTATGTCATAGAAACATTTGTATTGGTAAAAGTGTATTAACAATAGGGATGGGAATTTGAAAGCAAATGTATATTCGAATATTCGACCCCCCAAAAAACGGTTAACCGAAATGTACATATCCTATAAAAAAGAAATTGGGTCAAAAAAAAAATTCTAAAAATTCTTTTTGAAAAAAAATGTTTCAATAACTTTTGGAAATAAATAAATACATATAAATATAAATAAGTATAGAAACCAAGTCGAATTTGTCAAATGTATTGAACTGGTGATCACAGTTTGACAGCTATAGGCCTACAGCTTTCATGTGCGGAGGCGATTCACAATCAGGCCAGCTGTAGAGAAGACCCTCTCAGCTGGAACGGAGGTTGCGGGTATAGCAAGGTATAGTATGTATATATATAAGTTTAATTTGGCATAGTTTGCACTCTACACTGCACTCACTAACCTGGTCGGAATATTTCCACACATTACTCCTTTTTGACGCCATGTCTGTTGTGTAGGACTCTTCTTAGAGTGTAAATAATTACCGGACTATGACTGGTAAAATATGTTGAATACCGGCAAAACTAAATCTCTCCTGTCAAAATGTCTATGTACTTTGCCGCCACACACGGTTGCCAAGCAGCGCTTATTGTTGTTTAGGCTGGCCACTCATGTGTCGCGAGTGTTGACGGGGCGGGGGAGCACGCTCATGAACTGTTAGCGCCGGAACCTCGCAACGGCTGCGGAGCGCATTTGCGGCGCATTTGGGCATAAGATGAGGTTTGAGTCTGCGTGATCTGCGTGTAGGGAGGGGCAGCAGCCATATCATTAGCTAGAACTAGCTAGATCTGATGGATTTGGACATAAACGCGAGTGAAGTACCGGACGCGAGAGAGAGAGAGATCAGCACCTGCAGCTCTGCCCGCTGTGAGGGACCGGTGAGCGGAGCAAAACACACCTTTAGACGTCACCTAACACATTTAGCTATGGCACTGTCGTATACATTGAATTATTCAATTTGGTAATATGTAATCAACTTAGGCACCCCTCCCAAAAAAAAAAAAATACAAATAATAATAATAAAAATATTCATAACTCATATTCGAATACCTGAATAATTTCGAATATTCGATTAATCGTTCCCATCCCTAATTAACAACAGACATTATTTGAGGCGTTTAACCAAAAACAGATTAAAAAAAATCATTGACTTTGAGACCTGATAAAGGAAAATGCTAACAAAAAACTAACTCCAAGTTTTAGCACTAATTTGTGCTGCACTCTATATCTGGAAGCGAACAGGTTCTGAGGTTGTTGATCAAACATTGTAGTTTTTGTAGGGATATGTGTCGACACTGGGGGCCTTTCTACATCATGTCAGACACACACACACACACACACCTGCTGGGTCTCATGCTCTCGTGCCTCTGCTGGAAGGACGGCGACGGCGTCACAGCTTCAAGAGCTGATTGGTTCACTCTGGCCGCAAGCTCCTGCCAATGGGAAGAAAGAACAGTCAGCATCAAGCATCAGGAACATATATTTTATGTTATTTTCATTTTCTATGTAATTATATTTTAAGTAATTATTTTGTCACAGTCCATACAACTAAATAAAATAATAAAAAGTTGTACATCTAATAAAAATGAACAAATGATCAATCCATCTATAAATGTGAATTTATATTTTGGTACTAGCTGCCAAAGTCTCCACCATGATCTGTGACTAGGTAAATGAGAGTAAATGAGGGACACACAGACCTCTGCGTTCTCACTCAGGTAGATCCTTTTGGAGATGTTGTTGATGGTGGAGATCCACTGCAGGAGGAAGCAGCAGGGAGACGAAGTGAGTACAAAAAACAGTCAACACAGAACAGGTCACATGACAGAAAAACGTTTTACCTCATCGCAGTCCCTCCTGCTCTCCGACTGCAGCGTCACCACCCTGACAGAACGGAGAAATCAGTTGAATACAGTGGCATTTATTCATGCTGGAGAAATGTAAGAAAAGGGAGCCCTCTCACTTCTTGCCATCAAAGGAAGTGACCTGGAAGCAGAAGCGGCGGTCGTCGCAGTCCACCGCCATGACGGAGCAGTTGTCCAGGTCGGTGACGAGCCCCCCCGCCACCTCGCCGCGGCCCTGCTGCATCAGGTTACCGCCCTGCGTGAAGAAGTACTGACGCTCCCAGGACGACGACACCAGCCCCGTCTTACTGAGAGACACACAGAGAAGAGCTGGTTTAAAACACAAACTACAAATTAGTCATTTCTTTTAGCTCCACATTGCCACAAAAGCACACTACGCAAACATGACAGAGGAACGAAACAGGTCAAACACTTTATGAAAACCAGTGAAGTATAAGTGATTCAATAGAACAAAAGGATAGCACAACACAGGGATCGTACAGCTTTTTAAGAGTGTCAAGCACTTTCATGGTAACCAAATTAAATATGTACAGACTCTTGAACCTTTATCATTACATCTAAATATTTACAGTAAATGCAACTGAGAAAATAAATGCTAAAATAATTCCCTCAAAGCCACACCAATAATGTGTATAGACACGTGTTTAAATTAAATGTGTAAAAACCTCATTTCTATTGGGATTCAAAAACCTTATACAACATTATTATTATTATATTCGGCAACAATTTCCCACTTATACAGAACTACTGGACGCACTTGATATCATGTTGTACAACTGACATCATATTATAAATAGTGTACTTCTTTATTTTTATTTTATTTTCTCTTACTTTTGATACAGTTATTAACATTATTATTGTTTATTTATTTTTCTGTCTCACATTTTTTGTCATATTGATTTTATTTACGTTTAAATGTTACTGTTTAAATAATTGATTATTTTTTATTTGTAAATCGTACAATATAACTATTGTAGTAATGGGTCTCTGTTGGAGCCAAAGCTTGGGGCGTAGGGGTGTATGGTGTCTATCCCACTGTATCTATGATTTATTGCATTTTATATGACTTTAAATACCAATAACAAGACCTTGAAAAAAAGATGTCCGGATGTTGTTAACACTGATTGAACTTATTGACAAAAGACAGAAAATAAATTGTAAAAAATTAGCAGTTTTGTGTTTCATGAAATGTTTCCACAAGGACTATTTACATTTTCTGTAAATAAAAACGTATGAAATGAAAATGATTTCAAAGATCAGATTATAATTATTCACAGAGGAGCTTTGATCAGAAAATGTAATAAAAAGAAAATGATATATATATATGCATGTGTCCTACTTGCGGATGTGCAGGTAGCCCTGTTTCCTGGTCAGGTTCCTGCAGACAGGTGAGTGGGCGGGGTCAGGGTCACATGGTACGTACAGAGGGTCACATGATCGCTCCATCTCCAGGATCGTCTCATGCATCTGCCCGACCTCCGTCTCCATCTCCCGACGCACACTGCAAACACACACACACATACAATTAAGTCACATGTTCACACTTATTTTTAACATCTTATCAGTACATTTCATTTAGCCGATGCTTTTATACAAAGCGACTTACAACAAGTGCATCAACCACTAAGCTTCTTATTCAGAACAGCAAGAATCCTGCAAGTTTCTTACTTCTGGACGCTGGTTCCTATTGTTCCCAGGAAGTCTTCCCACTGCTGGGTGAGATTTTCTGAACCCAGCTTAAAGAAACTGATCTGGACCGGGGGAAAAAAACAGTCAAAGATAAATCGGCAGGTTTGTTAACAGCTCTTAAAACATCTGAACAACATCAATTTGACACTTAGCTGGTTCATTTTAACACTTCAGCCTCATTTTGGAACAAAGACCAAAAATGTTGCCTCAGAGCTGCCAACCTTTGTTTGGATATATATCCAAACACACACAGTGTATGTGGAACGCATCATTCATTTGTTGTGTTTTGATCAAGCGATGTATCATGTGATGATCATGAGTTTTGTTTTGCTCAATCAAACATTTTCACTGTGTGTGTTGTAGGACCAAGGAATAGGTTTGGGTCCCTCTGTTAATGCTGGTAATTGTGGGCGTGTGGTGTGTGTGTACGTCACCGGTTCTTAAGGTGGAGTAATTCAAATCACCTGCTTACCGTATTTATTTGCTACAGTATTACGACATTATTAAAGAACATCGGGATGTTTTGTTTATTTTCAATGTGCGACACAGAGTGTGTGTGTGTGTGTGTGTGTGTGTGTGTGTGTGTGTGTGTGTGTGTGTGTGTGTGTGTGTGTGTGTGTGTGTGTGTGTGTGTGTGTGTGTGTGTGTGTGTGTGTGTGTGTGGTGTGTGTGTGTACCTGTGCCTGCATGTATCCCAGCAGCGGCTCCAGCAGCGCTGTCTTCTTCTTGTACTGCAGCGTGTTGAGCGAGCAGAAGTAGTGCATCATGGTCTGGTGCTGTTTCTTGCGGGAGGTGTAGACGTCCTCCACGGCCTCCGCCCGCAGCTGAAACACACAGGACTTTCTTCTAAAACCAGTATCAAGGTTTTTATGAGAGATTGTATCCTATACTTCAGATCAATATAGTCCTATTATGCAATTTCAATATATGCCCTTTTTGTGAGGCAGCTGCTGGTTTAGTTACTTTATAGAAAATAAAATCTACCTGCAGGAACTTAACCCTCGCAGCAAATATAGAAGAGAGTTTTTACATCCTTGCAACTGCATCCCCAGTCAACTCTTGAACAAAAGACACTTGGGCAATGGTTTCTTTAAGATCTGCAAGTTGAGTTTTACAGAAATGAAAATATATGTATATATATATATATATATATATAATATGTAAGAATCTTTTCTTTTTTTTCTATTGCAAAATGTGTCTCTGCAATTGAATGGGTTTTTTACCTAAGTTTAAATTGAGCTTTTTTTATTGAAAGGAAAAGGAAGGAATATCCTCTAGAAATTAAAAACGTATAAACTCAGGACAACGATCTATATAAACTCAAAGAGTCAGTTTTATTTGTATTTACTATCTTTTGAGTGAACTTCTGAGTCAATTATAAAATAAAGTCATATCTATACGAATATTGCTTATTTGAATATTCAATTAGTGACTGATGAACGTGATGTGAGGAGGGTTGCTTACCTTGTCGTTGTCTCTCTTCTTGGACAGACGGCTGAATCTGTTCATGGCTACATCATGATCTGCAGACACAAACAGGAAGGGAAGACCTTTAAGTGGTACACATCTTTATCTTTTCACATTAACCAGTAAGTACATTTAAGATTTAGATCATTTGTCAGTTACAATCAAAAACAAGATGAATGTTCCTTTAAGCGTAGCTAAATGTGGAGAATGTGTGGAGCCAGAAGAGTCATACTGACAGAGAGATCATGTGCCCATCGAGTTCTTTTAGAGTACGTGTTACTTTGTTATTGTGATGGCAGAGATAGCGGCTGTGTCTTCATTCAAATCAAAATAAATTGCCCTCCACATAGACAAATAAAATATGTTCAAGAACAATGTTGTTTTAAGTAAATTGTGAAATTAAGATATGTCTATGTAAGATTTTGTAGGTTTTTCAGATTATATTAAAGGTCCCATGTCATGCTTCTCCGGTTATTACCCGTCCCCTTGTGTGTTATGAAGGTTTTTATGCATGTAAACGGTCTGCAGAGTCACAAACCCTCAAAGTCCACCCTGTAGCGAGTAAAACTCTAACACAGAAAAGACCTCCCCAAAACGCCTCGTTGGAGATTTCTCATTTTCCATTGTTTACTTCCTGGGTACTCTGACGTGGGGATACCCAGAGGCCACACCCTCTGCCAGCCTTTCACGAAACAAAGCGATTCATGCCGGATATGTACAGCGTAGGGCACTGAAGAACGATGCTGTTCCTACTTTGTTTGGACCAGCGGGAGATTCGGGTACACAACCTGTAAGTATTCATTGTTGTTTGTGTATTTATGATGTTTAAAACAAACAAGGTATCTACCACGACTGTTTCAATGGGTAAACGTTTTTCGGGCTGCTAAGTTGGGATCGCGGAGAAATGCTCACCGCAGACCCATGCTCACAGCGTTATAAACCTTTTTCTTACTCAATATTAAGCCACACTTATTGTTTTTACTTCGGCTGTGAGTGTTTGTGTGTGCTCAGGATGAGTTTCGCTTGTTCTCGCTGTATCGCCGACACGGAAGCCTGTCCGCTCCTCGCAGCAGCTCACAGCAGCTGCGAGCAGCAACGAGCCTCTCAACGTCCCGACCAATCAGAGCACACTGGGCTCACAGGGAGGGGGGGGCAGGAGCTCCAACAAGCCGTTTAGGACAGAGAGTGAATACACATACGATACAGAGATGCTGTATGAGAAACCAATGTGAGTTTGGAACATTGCACAGTATAAATCTATTCTAGTAGACCTCAACAATGGAATTATGATCAGTAGAAATGGCCATGACATGGGACCTTTAAACACAAAATAGGCAATTTACAAATTCTTAGCCTCCGTAGTTATCGAGAAATAATAACTACAAATAAATTGCATTAAAATGTCCACTGGTCAGAAAGAAACAGAAAATATTAGCCAGACGTTATTTTTTTAATAATGAACAAAAAATAATAATTGGTTCCTAATCTACCTTATTGACTTACTTACTGATCTGCAAGCAGACATCGTGTATATACATGTTTTAAATATGCGCATCACAGCTTAAAGGTGGGGTAGGTAATTTTGGAGAAACCAGCTCGAGTGCACTAGAATTTGAAAATACACAGCCGGAAAATATCTGCCACTTCCTCACAGAGCCCCTCCTCCAACACACACGAACGCGCACATGACCAATGAGGGCACAAGATAAGTTTGTGCACAGATGGAAGGCTGACAGGCAGGTAGGCCATCCAGTTATTTTAGCCGGGCCGGCTAAAATGATTGGTCGTGCTTTTTACAGTACTACGGCTTCCACAGATGAAATGTTTTTATGGATTTTTTGTCAAAGCACTTAAGATATTCATTGCTATCGGGATGTTAAGAGCATTCCATGGAATATAACAAAAAGTGTATCTCGAGCCGGTTTCTCAAACTTACTTACTCCACCTTTAAAGGACTTACTGATATTTTCTTTTCTGTTTTTAGACCGATATTCATTAAGATAATAATTTGACTGAAAATCAGCAGGAGTGTTGCAAGAGTAGCTAAGAGTTATGTGGGGTTTAGGATGGTTATTTTTTTTTTAATATACTGAATATTAACTGTAGCTTGGTGTAGAAGTATTTCTAACTTACCATCACTGGATATTTGGAAGACTTCCTTCAGAGTGAGGATCTCTGGAGAGACAAAAAGAAAATCATAAGCACCACTGAAGGAAAACTGTATATCTTAGACCTCACGGTGCTTCCAATTGTTTGGGAAAAAGTCATTTTGCAAAAGACTTTTCACTTTTTAAACAAGAGAATGCCAACAGCGCACAAAACCAGGCTTATACAAAAAGTGTGTTCCCAGATTAGTGAGGAAAAACTTTAAAAGGCAAACTAAATCTTTTTCCTCTTACCTGTATCGTCATTTATCTTGATTGGTTTGTTGTGAGTTGCTGAGGGTTAGAGATGTTTGCTTTTTTGCTTATATAATGGCAATAGATGTAACTCTACTGCTAACTCAGCTTGTCTATGTCAAAGTGCAAAAAAGATTGATTGGAAACTAAACAGCTACTATGTCTCTTACCAAAAAGCATGACCTAAAATCTGAAAACAATTCACAGACCCTGTTGTGGGGAGTTGCAAGTAGGTACTTTTTTTCTTTCTACCTAACTACACCCACCCTCCGTGTTACCGCGCAGAAGGAATTGTACATCTACTCATGGACGAGAGGCACTTGCTTACTTATTGACGGGTGAGGTTTGGAGTGTTAAAATGTTTTTTGTTGCTTTTCTGCCAGTCAGTTCTATCAAATATCAAGATAAGGTGGCTATCTCTACACTCAATACCTCCAACACTCGGAACCTAACAACAACAAAAACATCTAGATTGATAAATTGCATTACAGGTCATAGGAAAAAGAAAAAACAATTGTCTTTGGGGCAAAAAGTCCAGTTTCTAATGTGACAAATATGCTAAAAACAGTGGTCTCTCTCTGAGGTACTGCACGCGTTTCCTACCCTTCAGGTCTCTCTCTTTAAACTGAGTGATGGGAAACATCATGGCATCTGCAAGCTGGGTGGACAAGACAGCATGACAGGAACTCAACTACAGAGAGAAAGAGAAAGACAGAATGGAAATTGTCACATCCTGGTCAGTTAAATCTCCCAGTGTGGCAGCTGGTGAGTTTGTATTTTCTCACCTCATCGATGACTTTTGCAAACTGCTGCAGGGTGGAGCTCATCACCTCGTCATCGCCCCCTAGAGGAAAACGCTGCAGACGACAGCAACAACATGGAGGAATGGATTAGATTGATTTCAGTGAGGAGAAATGCGTCCCTGCTGAAGCAAACCAGCATGCAACGCACATCAGAGGAAACTGGAGATTTCTCGTCACAGAACAAGTGATGGTTAAATGTTGGCCTGAAGTTGTCTCTAGGGAAAAGGTTGTCAAAACAATAACAAAGTCTAGTGTCATAGGACAGGTGTCTATTTTTCATAGGGTCTTTGGCTGGTGGCGTGGCCTACCTGTTTGTCGTACTCTTTCAGCAGTCTAGAGGTCAGGTGTGTGGCAGCACTGAGCTCGTTCTGAAAGAGAAAACAGGACAGAGTCATAGCTGGAGACACACTTTCCCATCAGCTGCTCTATCAACGCTCCTGTAGGTTCTGTCTGTACCTGCAAAGCCAGTGGCAGTACACCTGTGAATCAGACCAGTGTGTGTGTGCGTGTGCGTGTGCGTGTATGTACCTGTGCATCATAAATCCTCTGCATGGCCTGGTAGAGCTGACTGCAGTAGTTGGACATCGCTGCAGTGTCCTCCTCAAACACTCCCAGCAGGGACCGCGTCTACATACGAAACACAAAATAAAACTGATGAAAATAAAGTTAATGCTAATCATTTGACCAAGCCATAAGAATTCACCTGTTATGGTCTCAAATGATCCTTTGTGTATCTGCCAAAATAACCAAACCCACACATATCTATGTAAATCAACACCGATGACCTGCATACAGCACAGTAACACTTCCAGGGTGTGTCTCAAATGCAGTTTTAGCTTGCCAGCACACTCATCTGTCATTGTCAATTTATAATAGCAAAGGTGATGTTTGTAATAATTTAAAAAGGTTTCCTATGGTAGAATGTAACCAATTACATTTGCTCAAGTAATATAATTACTGTTACTGTTTACGTACTGTTAGAAATAGTAAGTACGGCAAGAGATTTTTAAACTTAAAGATGGAAAGATTGTGTTTACTTAAGCAAGAGAAGAGAACTACCTTAATAATATAAATATTTATATATATTATTCAGTTATATAGAACCCTTTAAAACAGGGTTACAAAGTGTTCACAAACACAAAAATCATGAAAAAATAAACAAATTCCTTACACGGCGATAACAAGAAACACATCCAACAACCCAAACAAAGTTTTTAATTTAATTTTCAAATGTACTTTGTATCTCTTAATCTGGTTGAGATGTGATGAACAGATGTATACATACAAGTTAATTAAAATTGAGTTAACGTAATTATCAAGAGAGATAGTGGTGAGATGTGATTAAGTGTAATGTTTTAGCATATAATATATTAATCTGTATTTACTGATCAAACCTTTCAGGTGGATCAGAATCTGGACACACCCCCACTAGTGATGTCACAGCAGGTGTTTGCTCTGTATTTTCTGCAGTACACAACAGCATGATTTGGGCTGTTTAACCCAAATTAAAGCAGCTATAGCTTTATGCACCTTGTGACTTTAATAACATAAAGCATCAGGATGACACAGCTGCTTTATATTAGCTAAGCAGTTACTATCAACGCAATGAAGGGAAAAGCGAGCAAAGATGCTAAGGAAGTAGCCGCCTGCTACTTATGAATCCTACGAGTAATCTTAATGTAAAGCGAAATTACGTGTTGACATCTTTACGGAAACCACCACCAGCTGATCGGTGTAGCCGCCCGGGTCTGGTCCCGAAGCACATCTGCAGTGTATCCGCCTGACAGCTCTGTCAGCGGGGCCGTTAGCAGTTAGCTTTCTGCCCGAACTTGGCATCTCTTTGCTGGTTTTGTTGGCAAACACTGAGCTACAAAGACAGTTAGCCTAGCCGTTAGCATGCTAGCTGAAAGCCTCCAGAGAAGAGAGCCGTTACCTGCGGGCTGTCCTCCAACGTCTCCTCTATCGGAAGCTTCTCTATCCCGGGCATGGCTGCGGCTGGCGCGGTAGTAATCGGTGCAGAACACGATACAAAAGACACAAGAAATCAGTTCCGACAACTCCCACTCAAGATTTCTTGGCTGCACGAATTTACAACACCCCAAAACAGCTCAACCCCGTTTCTCAAGCCCCGCCCTCTGGATGGTTTTGATTGGATACGAAAAGATTCCACGATTTTGATTGGTATCTTGTTTAAAGGGGAAAAGGCGTCATTTTGGCTCTGACCAGGATCGCCCTTTTACTATAACCGAGTACAACTAAGAGCCACAATGGCGGCGGTTGCTTATTTTGTCATAATTTTTTCTACACCATTTGGTTATTTAAGCTTTTAAAGTTACTAAAGCCTTTTTTTCCTCAAACCTTTTTTGTGGGATTGTATTACTTGCTATTATACATGTCAAGCAGAGTTATTTACTTTTTATTAACTACACATGTTCACACTTAAAGGTGGGGTAGGTAAGTTTGAGAAACCGGCTCGAGATACACTTTTTGTTATATTCCATGGAATGCTCTTAACATCCCGATAGCAATGAATATCTTAAGTGCTTTGACAAAAAACCGTTTGAGAAACCGGCTCGAGATCGCTAGAATTTGAAAATACACAACCGGAGAAAATCTGCCACTTCCTTATAGAGCCCCTCCTCCAACACACACGAACGTGCACATGACCAATGAGGGCACGAGATACGTTTGTGCACAGATGGAAGGCTGACAGGCAGGTAGGCCATCCAGTTATTTTAGCCGGGCCGGCTAAAATGATTGGTCGTGCTTTTTACAGTACTACGGCTTCCACAGATGACATTTTTTTATGGATTTTTTGTCAAAGCACTTAAGATATTCATTGCTATCGGGATGTTAAGAGCATTCCATGGAATATAACAAAAAGTGTATCTCGAGCCGGTTTCTCAAACTTACCTACCCCACCTTTAAAGGATAATAGGGAAAAAAGCACAAAAAACAACACAATTATGAGGTCATGGAATGATGAGTCAATCAAAACAAATTTGCCTAATTTAACCCTAGCCTATTAGCCTTTTTTTTTATAAAAATGTTTTAAAAAGCTTGAATTAGCTATATACAACACAACCAATTGCTAACATTATTTGATTTGGAAGAAAAATTATGCACTCTGGGCAGGGGCGTAACAAGGTTGTGATTGGCCCCGGTGCAAATATTGTTTTGGGGCCCCCCCCCCCCCTGCCCCAAACAAAAGCGCACGCTGATGCGCTCACACACACACGGACATACACAACCACTCAGAAGCGCCACATGTATAGGCTATCAACAACAGCCTGCCCTGGCCTCAGACCACCACAGCCTGACAACGGCACAGCGAACTAAGAAGAGGATTAAACCTGTTTCCTTGATGTTTGTCTCTGGGGAATGGGCCGGTAGGCCTACATAGACCGGTTGCTATAATATAGCTTTTGATCTTGGCGTCGGGGGGTCTCAATAGCGCCATAGAGTCCCCTATCGGTTGGGGCCCTTGGGGGAACTGTTGGACCACCGCCGGGCACAGCCAAATCCAGCCTCTCCTCCTGGCTGGCTGGAGAAGAAGGTTGCACAGCCACGGCGACGGATACAGCTTCACTTGTGGAGCTAGATGGCAATGATGGTGGTGAGCTATCGTTAGCCTCCGGCTCCGGCTGCCGCTGCACGTCAACATTGCTAACGTTAGCGCTTGATTTCGAGGACGATGTATGACAAAAAAAACGGTCTAATTTTGTCAGTTTAGCTGTTACATCTCCTTGTTCTCTCTTGTCCTTTCTCTTTTGAGCGCCGCTCTTGTGCTTTGGTTTGCTGTACATTATAAATGCAAGCTATTACATTTTTTATAATGCTGCCGAACTTGCTGCTGCTAGCTACAGTACAGTACAGGTTGATTAAACGGTTCTCTCGTCACGCAAGGTATCACATGACATGAAAGGGAGCAAGGTCATTGGACAGACAAATTACAAATTAATTTAGGTTGCTTGGTTACTTTGAAGACTGCGTGAACCGATCAATGCCATTGGGGCCCCAAAAAATATATATTATATATATATATATTTTTTGCATGGGTCCCTTGCCGGCTCGGGGCCCCGGTCGATAGTTACGCCACTGACTCTGGGTCCAATCTGTGAATAAAATGTTGATCAAACTGGTCTGGTTTGATTTTCAGCCTCAATATTACTACACTATCAAATGTATTTTAATATACATGTATTTATATAATTATTGTTGTTATATATTGTAGTACATGATTCTGATTATAAATATAGGTATAATACAAATAATAAATCTAATGTACAAATGAACAACACTGTAATGCAGATAACTTTTTTTTATTTTTGTTAAATGTGATGGCTGAGGTTCAGAAGGATGCTCCTGGAGTTTCCTCCAAGTTGGGGAGCGTCAGAGGACCACGAGGGAACAAGTCCTCCGCCATGCTGTTAAGTCCTTGCAGAACACAGCAGCTCAGGCCGCTGCGGGGCGTCTCCACAAGAGAGACGTAATACCACATACCGGCTTCGTCGTCATAGCGGTTCACATCCAACATAGTGGAGGAGCCACTGTGTCCTCCCACCAAAAAGAGCTGGTCGTCCACCACCTCAATGTCAAAGTAGCTGCGGGGATAAAGCATAGATGGTGTGAAGTTCCAACTGTTGGTTTCAGGGTTGTAGGCCTCAACAGTGTGCAGGGAGAATTCCACGTTCATTGTTCCACCAACCTTGAAGAGAGAGTGTGGAATGGTCAGTGTTTAGATAATTTCATTCAGTAAATGTCTCCAGTACATGATCAAGTCTTTCATTCAAACCCTTACTAAAAGGTAGGGCTGGGAATATGAAAAATGTCAAATATCACAATATGTTTTGAACAAAAATCCATGATATCAATATTGTGATGATAGTGTTTGGTGGAGCTCATAGGACTGACAAGTAATGCAACGTATATCAATATTGTGATATGGGACTTAATGGCATCTTTAATTTTGGATATTATATGGTAAGTGTTTGTCTTTTCCTCAATTAAAGGCTGCCTTTTAGTAAAGTCAGTCAATAAACCAACATAACTGATGATTATTTATAAAAAATGTAATATTCAAAATGTCACATTTTTTGCCTTACATGGCATCAGTTTCTCTGTGACACTCCGTAATAGTACATGCACATTGAGCCTTTGGTGCCACTCATCTCATAAAACTTCACATTCAAAGTGCTACCCTTCAATGGTACATTTACATTAATAAGAAGTGGATTTATGACCACTCGATGTTCTACTGGTCCAACCAATTCAACCACACCAAAAATGTGTATTCAAAAATAATCTTTGGTAAATGTTTGCACATCTCTAACAGTGCCACTCCAACAATCAAAGCATATTACTGCCTCACACTTACTGCATAGATGCGGTTTCTGTAGGCAGCGACCCCCAGGCCACTGCGGCTGGTCCTCATGGCAGAGATCAGGGTCCACTGGTTGAAATCTGGGTTGTAGCATTCAGCTGTGGAGAGGCTTCGATACCCGTTATAACCCCCGCAAACATACACCTGCAGACAGGCTTGAGAATGTTACATTTAATATGTATTCCACTACAATTACAGTCAAAATGAACGTGTAAGTAAAAAACATGTTTCATTGCTATGGTCAGTAAAGACCATTAAGCCACTGCATGCAGAATGTTTACTTCTATTTTGATGGTATATGGTATGGTCTTTGTAGAAAAAACTGTTTGGTTGAGTGTTTGTTTATCAGGGTTTTAAAAAACTACTGTGCCTGATTTTGGTCAAACTTGTTGAAAGGGTGGGGCATGCACTAAGGAAGAACCCACTCAATTTGGGGTTGGAACCAAAACACAAAATAATATTTCTTCACTTTTATAAAGATGTGAGGCCCTTCTGGGAGATCTGCACTCTCCAAGTATCCAGACAGTTTCAACAAACTGACTTTATAAAGCAATATCTATCTGAATTCTGTTTACATAAGTCAACTTGTTAACGGCTGGTCATACTAGACCAAGTAAGGCTACTTTTTTGCAGCAACAACTTTTGAGTGTATTGAACTAAACAAGCATTCAACGACTCCCGCAGTTTCCTACATCAATCTCTACATACTAATCAGGGCACATCTACACATTTCAACCCACGTTTATAACATAAATAATTTGGCTAGCATGGACATTACTTCAGACTTAATAATGAAGTGAAAACAATGTGCAAATTAATTCTGATTATCAGGATTAATTGACAATGTACCTTGCAAGGTCATTGCTAGTTTCTGCTTCACCCACCTTGCCATTTAGAGTGGTGGCACCGGCCCCACTCCTCCTTGAGTGCATCTGTGCCACCATGATCCAGCGGTCATTCTCAGGCCTGTAGCACTCGACAGTGTTAAAGCAAGTCACTCCATTGTAGCCTCCAATGGCGTAAATGCACTCATTATGCACAACAACACAGACGTAGCCGCGGCAGAAGTTCAAGGGGGCCACCTGGTGCCACGTGCGAGTCACAAGGTCAAACTTTTGCACAGTATTCAGGTAAAGCTCAGTGTGGATGCCTCCGATTAAGTACACAACGTTGTTGAGGACTGCAGCACCGTGGTAAGCACGACGGATCTGACCAGCACTGACAGTGACCCAGCAGTCAGCGCGGGCATCGTACGCCTCGAGGTCGGTGGCGTGCACACCGTCTCCTTCGCCTCCGGTGACCAGTAAGATGGTGGAGGGCAGGCGGGGTCGACTCAGCAGGTTTTTGTAGATGGATTTTGAGTATCTACTACTAAAATTCAGAGACACTTTCAGTGCCTCATCGAGGATGGGAAAACATTTGAAGCTCTTCTTCACCACATCGTTTTCCATCACATTTTGGAGGTAATACACGTTCATCAAGCCTAGCCGCACCTGGACACATAAGAGAACAACACTTAGAAACGTATAATGAGTACAAGAACATTTGAGTGTAACCTTTTTTTTACAAAAATAAATGGTTATGGAGTTTTCTTTATTTTATAATTGAATACTTTTTTTTATCTTTTATTATATTATGTATTATATTTTTGAAGCAAACTATTTAGAGAGAATGAACATTCTTTGTATTTCTTATTATAATATTAAGTTTATTAATATTAATATTTGTTTTTATTGTTTTAAATGCATATTCAAATGTATTTAATGCATTATGTTGATCGAATTAGTGTGTGTATAAGCGAGGGTGCAAGAGTGTTTTAAGGGGAAAAACAAACAGAGAAGAATAAAAGAATGAAGTAATAAAAACATTTAAACATTAAATAAATAAATGGATGAATAAATAAATAAACAAATAAATAAATAATAGAGTGCAGGAATAATGGAGCTTCTAATAAATGCCTTGTTTTGTTTTTTTCCTTTACCAAATTGTGGGCTGTTTTTGTAAAAATTAAACCCAATTGGTTTTGAAGAAATTAAACCCTTGCTGTATCAATCTGAATACATCTAGATGATTGTTTAGTTACCTTGGACAGCAGCTCAGAGATGTGACCTTTTCTCTGGTCTGGCTGGTAGTTAATCCAGCTGAGGATCGCCTCAAACACCGTGTACTCCTCGCTCACGTTGAGGTGGTCGCTCTCAATAATGGTGGTCAGCTGCTGAATAGAGAGATTCACAAGCTCCTGGGAGACAGAAACTATCTCCTTAAAGCTGTGCAGGATGTAGAGGAAGACTTTTTTACTCTGCTCCGGCATGTAGTAGACACTCATCAGCTTCCAGATGCCAATGCAGTTCCTCGGGGACAGCTGGTCCTCCAGGAAGAACCAGCAGCTCTGAACCAACCCCGTCACCAAGAGCTGGTCTGCAGCTTCCAAAAGCTCCACCACGTTATCCTCCGTCACAGGAGCAGAGTTGGTGTAGGCATAGTTGATGATGAGGCTCATCATCTCAGACGACACCCCGGGGATGGTGTACTTCTGCTTTTTGATGGATGCCCAGGGTCCGGTAAGGAGAGCGCTGTGGGATCAGGGGATCAGGGGATCAGGGTTTTAGAAAGGAAAATACATAACAGTCTCATAATAAGTAGACCTTTTGGAAAAATCTTTGGAAAGATCTGCTCTTCATAGATAAATGACTTATCTGGAGTTGATTATTGATCATCAACCCATGCGCTTCAACTGCAACTTGGCCAATAAAGTCTTATGAAAGTTGCCATTTCTATATGTAGCACTTTAATAGGGTATGGCCTATCTGAAGCTAATGTAGTCTCAGGATTATTTCTATTCGGAGTGTGTATACTCGTGGTTGAGTGCACTTAGTGTAAGTCCCTTTGGATGACTATCAGCTTAATGAAAATGAATTATTTTTCATGGCTAAATTATGACAAATAATTTTTAAGACAAATCATCAGCTCATGATGATCAGCTGTACGCGCACCGTACGATGAGTGGTAGTGGCAATGCTTGTCAGCAGCAAAATAAATCTGGAGGCACTGCTTACTTTGTCTTTTCTTTCTTACATCTTTTTCTCATCTTGTTTCTATCTTCTGAAAGAGCGAATTGATTTAGCCCCACAGGCATCTAAATCATTCTAAATAAAATATTTTTGTGGAGTAATCACAGTTTCTTTACCATGTGCAATCAGTGTGACAAGTAGACACTGCTTTGTTGAAGCAAAACAAAGCAAAACACATCTGCTCATTAAAAACAGGGACATAAAAGATGAGAGTTCAGGAAAAAATGGACTCTCTGACATTAGTTTCAAATGTATTGTTATCACATACTACACTGAGAAAACTCAAACGTTGACTTGAATTAAATGTATGATGTCAACAGATATCACATAACTGTAGAAGGTTAGTTAAAAGCAATAATATTAAGTTTAAATAAAAAATATTAGGTTCAACTTGACTAAAGTCAATGTTTCAGTTTTTTCAATGTAGTACTGAGACAACAAAATGCAGTTTAGCATCTAAGTGCAAAAAGCAGTAAAAAGTGCAAGGTAATGCATTTTATTTGATTGTTTATTTCTTAACGGAGCACAAATCAATGGCCCACACCTCAGGATTTATAGCTTAGGCTGATTTGCAATGCTGGTCCCATGGGCCTTTAAGCCAGATAAAACTCAACAACAAATACACAAGATAATACATAACAAAAACACAACTATAGGTCGGTACATTATAACACAACATTCAACAAAAATAAAGAGAAAACAATGCAAGATGCAAATTAATACAACAAAACACCAGATCATTCATGACAATATGACAGGTTCCTCTTTAAAAACGGTTTTCAGTTTGAGTTTTACATGGTACTAAATTGAATAATCAGTAATATAGAGAACAAAAATAAAATTATGAACATGATAAGATGCATACAGTGTACAAAGGTGTACTATTTACAGTAGTGGCTGCTTCTTCAACACTTTTATATGTTCACTTTATGGTGCTACTTTTTATTGTACCTAGTGTACTAATTTGATGTTTATACTGCTTGTGTCTTTATTTAATGTTTTAATCAAATCATTTTGTGTTTTGCCTTTTTGTTGCCTTTTGATTTTTAGATGTAATACAAATAGTGTGAGCATTTTGAGGGTTTTATCTTTTCACAGACTTGCTTAAAGTGTATGATTTTACAGCCTTTGCTCTTCTGAGATGAAGTACTCACCGAAAGTACGAGCTGCAGCTACAGAGGATGACCTTATGAGCGTCAATCTTGACTTTACCCACTTGTATTTCCAGGTCACAAAGTTCCCTCTTCACACGCATTTCAGTTAGGACTGCAGATGCCATGCCATGCATCCTTTTCTCCACCTGACTCCTGAGAGGGTTTAATGCGCTGGAAGCTTGTCCTGGTGTACTCATTTTTTTGGAAAACATTTGTGCTCTCTACTCTGTAGGTCCTCAGAAAGCTTGTCTGGATATTTGTATCTTCCTCATAGTAAGTAAAATGTCAAAACTCATACAAAATGTTTCACTATGACAACAAAGAGTTTGAAACTGATGGAACTGTCACTCTGGAAACCCCTCATGTGCATGATTCAAACTAACACATTTAAAAGAGATGCAAAACAGGTGATGAATACAATACATTATATTTCTTTAATAGTTCCACATTAAGGGATATTTGCAGTGTTTCAGCAGCAGAGGCACATTGCAACAACAAGAGGAAGTACACAAGTATTACAGATAAGTTCAAACACAAAACAAAACAAAGTATATTGGACAGAATTCAAATAACATTTAAAATGTATTGCACAGGAAACGATAGATGATTGTTGATATTTTTCTTTGAATGAATGAATGAATTGTCAGTCAACTCATGCTATAGAGAAAAAGGAGGATGGTCCTAATTAGCAAGATATTATACATACATATGCGCGGTACGGTAATAATAAGTATTACAACTAGTATTTGAGACATATTCTAGACTGCATGTTTGTTAAATCAGTTTCTATTGGTGATGGTTTGTTCTAAAAAATGGAAAATGGATGAAGATCATTGTCTCAATTGTGACCCTGTATGATTGTGACCCTGTATGATTGTGACCCTGTATGATTGTGACCCTGTATGATTGTGACCCTGTATGATTGTGACTGTTCTTTAATAAAAAAACTTTGAAAACAAAAGTCAGTTTGTATTGTCAAATGTCCTGAGGGGGATATTCATTTCCTATGTTGCTCTATGTCTGCAGGAAAAGGGAGCACAGTTAGAGAAGAGTTGTTACTAACTTTTACCACAAGAGGGCGAGCAGTGCAGCTAGGAATACACATCAACACTTTAAAGTGCTGAATCCAAATGTGTCGTAAATCTTGCAAACCAATGGCTGATTTCTCACATTGTTACTTTGTCATTACAATGCAACAAAAAAGATGAACACAAATTATTATAGCAATGTATTTGTACTTTTACTTTCGCATAATATCACAGTTGTAGGTCTTCGTGCTATTTGTTGACAAGAATTATGTTGAAGACAAACTTTTATGTAAGTAATGTTTTTTTATGTACTAGCATGTGTATTTCCCTTATCTGTTAGTTTGCTTTTGATATGTGTCTGATAATGGTTAAAGATGTGAACAGTACAATGTTTGCTTATGAAACGGAAGATCTCAAACACAAAGTAGGCCTACCTCATAATTGGTAAAGTGTACTAGGGTAATTGTACTTTGTTACATTTAAACAGCCGGTTAAATCCAACTTTATCAACTCCTCCTATATGCCAACTGCAACTTTAGAGTGATAAGCACATTAATGGATAAATAACTATAATCCAATGACAATATCTACAATGGGCCATTCTGCATATGGAGTACTTTTACTTTTGTTACTTTTAGTATATTTTGATGCATATACTTTTATAGTTAAGAAACATTTATAAATGCAGAACTCTCATAAGAGTATTTTTAAAGTGCAGTTCTTTTTTTAAATGTGTTCTTACTAATATATTCAAACTTCAAATATCCTAAACTTCAATTAGGAAACAGGCTTGAGTAATTGTAAGTTACTTTCACCTGCAGGGTAAAACTAAAGCTGGTTCTCACAAAAGTAGTGAACACACCCACACCCACACACACCCACACACACACACCCACACACACACACACACACACACACACGCACACACACACACACACACACACACACACACACACACACACACACACACACACACACACACACACACACACACACACACACACACACGCACACACGCACGCACGCACACACGCACACACGCACGCTCACCCAAACACACCTCCTTCTCTCTCCTCTCTCTCAGAGTTGTTCAGACTTGAGGGAGGAATGGCGGCCCCTCGGAGTTTCTTCATCACTCTCTCGGGTTTATTTTTGTTTTTAAATGTCTCTTGTGGATCTACGACCTCCGGCGGCAGAAGAGCAAACCAGGAGCGATGCGGCTACAAGGTGAAAACTTAAAAAATATACCTTTACCTGTTTGTTTAACCGCATTTAAGCTAGTTAAAGCTGCTGTTGCTGCGTCGTCTCAAGTGTCCAAAAAAGTTCACTTTTCGCAGATGTTTCCTTGTGTTTTCTGTCACATTTATGTAGAAGTAAAGACAGTTTTGCTATCTTAATAAGCAGATGACATTAACTTAAGCTTTGTTCAAACAGTCTTTTATGCGCAGTGTTTTTGAAGACAGGTTGAGTTATGCTACCTTTACCTGTCGCAGCTCCGGTTCGGACCATTTTTACGGAACGTAACCAAACTCCAACTTTAAAAAGCGCCAATTTTAGGATAATTTGCTATACTGTAAATATGCAGACAAAACAAAAACACTTTGAACTGTTTCTGAATAACACTGGTGTCCTGTTAATTCGGCACAAATATAGTCTACTATAGAGGATTTAGATCCAAAGAAATCAACATTTTATATCTGGTTATCACCATTCAATAACAAAAAGACAGCAATGCGACTATGGTAAACTTTAGACTATGGTTTGTGTTTGAGTACTGGAGAGTGACTCCCAAAGCTCATGTTCATGTACTTTTATTGGATTTGGGAACAGACAATTTGAGTGAATTGTTAAAACTCTAATAACATAAACGTTTTAGCCTACTTTCTATTTACTTACAATAAATAAAGTAGATTGTAAGACCTGTGCTGTCTGCTTTAAACCAAACTCCTTTGAAGAAAATGCTAATTGGAGGAGGTTTCCTTCTTTTAAACAGGGTTCTTACGGTCATTGAAAACCTGGAAAAGTAATTCCAGGCCCTGGAAAAGTTATGGAAAACAATATTTTTCCCAAAGTTTTGGAAAAGTCATGGAAATGTCACTAAAGTTGGATCAAATATAATTTATATTTGATCTAATCGCCGAAATAGTAATACTATAATGATAATAAACACTGTATCGTATAGTAATGAAACGTAAAATGGCATTTAACTGACGAGGTATTTTGCTGGTGAGAGATTTTAGTTGCTTTAGCGTGTAGACGCTAGTAAGCCTATTTGATTTGTTTTAGATAGGCACAACATGTTTCATATGCAGACCTTATTTTCCTGTTCCATGTTAAAATAAACCATTTTCAGTGGTACCGCTGAGAAAGAGTAATTTTTTTTTGGTCATGGAAAATTAGGTAAAGGTCATGGAAAAGTCATTGAAAATCATTGGTGAAAAAGTGTATGAACCCTGTTTAAAGCATTTTTCTATTTTAAGTTTATTGTCGGTAGGATATTATACTATTGGTGTAATTGCATACATTTACTTACATTCTGCATATGTACAATTTACCAAAGAGCACATGTAACTCTAAATCCACCAATCTAAAGGTTTTATTTTGCAGACTTAACAGACCAAGAGAATCAATGTTTAAAGTGCACCTATCATGCTATTTTTAGGCAATAGCATAGGTCTCAGATATATAAAAATATATAAAAAACATGTCTATGAAGTGTTTTGCTCAAAATACCAAACAGATCACCCATTCTAGCCATGCCTCATATCCCTCTATTTCACTTCCTGTTTCAAAAGTGATGATTTGGGGTATAAAGCTTTAAAAAAAATAAGAATTGATAAAAAATAAAAAAGGAGGGGGCTGAGCTCATGCGGGTCCCGGCAGCTACTGTCTAAACTAAATACTGCCGTGATGAAACGCCATATCATGGATTATCAAGGATTATTTCTGAAACAGTATGGAGCTCAAAGGCTTTCTCTCTTTCCGGTTATACCACAAGGTGAGTTCCTTTTGATTTCCTGCTTCTTCACACACATGCTCTCCAGTACAGGTTAGCTCTGAGTGTTAGCCATGCTAATGTAAACACCGACCATATTACGTCCAAAACAGTCGGGCATTGTTTCTGATAGCAACTTTCTGATAGTGCCGTGGGTCCACATTTCCGATATTACGTCATATCGGACGCAAATCTGGATCAGCTCCGTTGTACCCCCGTTTTTAGATATTTGGGTACGGAGGAAAAGAGAGAAGGTTTTATTTTCTGACGCTGCGTGAGTTCCCTGACACACCGGGGACACATATTTATGTATAAAAGACATCAAAAAGTGCATTTAGCATGATAGGTCCCCTTTACAGCAGAAATGACAGTAAAAAGTTTCTACTTGGTGCTGAGTTATAGATATTTCAGAGGGATAAAACACAGGGCTTCCACCCTTCTTTGCATTTGAGTGTTGTGGTTGAGGGGAATACCAGGTAGTAAAACGCTGATTTCCTGCCTTTTGTGTGATCTGTTAAGAACATTTGATGTGGAAAACAGGAATGTGTGAAGTGATGACCCGCCTCCACCCTGCTCCGCTGCAGCTTTGTTTCTCTCCATGAATAATGAACCACTTTTTAGCCTGCACCATCATTACTACAGGGGTCTAATGTGTGCACTGTGTGAAAAAGGTTCAGGGTGTTCAAAAAAGTGCCATTAGTTAAGTTTTAATCAGATTTCAGTAACCAAAAAAACAATTTTCTGGTATCAAAAATGTCTTAAGATACCTCAGAACTTGTCTTTCAATCTTTACTCTCATGCAAACCAATTTTTGTTATACCTTTTTCTTAATAAGAACATCTATTAATATTATCTTACATTAATTATTAAATGTTATTGCTCTCAGGTTATGTCCCCTGTGTCGTTTTGAGACGTTTGACAATATTAAGTATTTTTTCAGTTATAAATTATCTGTAAATTACTTTCAAGCTTTATTGATCAATCAATAATTTACTTTTAAACTTAAAAAGGTAAACTTCCAGATGCTGTTTACTTATACATACAACAGAACAATCAGGAATTCCTTGCTCTGGATGATGTTTGGAAAAGCTAGATGAAATATGGTGCTTAGTTTTTGAATTTTGTTCTTAACATTGTTAAGGTAAAAAAAGTAACCCAACATTTGATATAGTATATCTGTAACACTGCAGATGTTAGCCATCCATTTGAGTAAGAAAGAAGGCATCATATTCCAAGGAAGCAAACCTTTCAGTCTTAACTGACCCAAAACCTTTTTTGAAAATGTGTGTGATTGGGACCCAACATGGTATCATTGTTTAAGTGTAAGATAGTGTATTGCACAATTTAAATTACATTACATTTCCTTTAACTGATGCTTACATCCAGAGTGTTTTACAATAACTTCTTAAAGTTTAGTTCATAATTGTATGTATTTCACATGCATGTTTTCCTTTTCCTGTCCATCATTATTAAAAAAACAAGCCAATTTCTGTTAGAAAATCTGAATAGTTGGCAGTTAAGTTTTCGTGTCTACAGTGAAGCATTGTTAAAAAGACAAAGCTTTTAGAAAGTTATTTGACAATTTGAGATGTTTAAAAAGTGAGTGATGTGATTTCCTTCTTCATGTTTCTTTTGTGGAAAGTATCTGATCTGTGTGTGAGAGAGCTCTACAGGTTTTAATTTTCCTGTGTTGATAGATGACTCCTACCTACCTTTGATGCCTTGTGTGTGCGTGTATTCCTGTGTGTGTGTGTATTATCCTGGTTTCCTCTCTCTGGCTTTGAAGTGTTTTCTACAGGAAGCTTCACACTGTTTACTCTGCTGAAACATTCCTTCCTGCAACCCCCAAACACACACACACTCCTCCCCCCTCTTGCTCCTGCTTCCCTTCTCCTTTCAGAAACACACGCACACATCAAAGGCTGCAGGATGGGGGTGTGAGGACCTGCTATTCTACAGGTGTGAGGTTATTAGAGGTGTGTGTGTGTGTGTGTGTGTGTGTGTGTTGTGTGTGTGTGTGTGTGTGTGTGTGTGTGTGTGTGTGTGTGTGTGTGTGTGTGTGTGTGTGTGTGTGTGTGTGTGTGTGTGTGTGTGTAGTGTGTGTGTGTGTGTGTGTGTGTGTGTGTGTGTTGTGTGTGTGTGTGTGTGTGTGTGTGTGTGTGTGTGTGTGTGTGTGTGTGTGTGCTGTGTGTGTGTGTGTGTGTGTGTGTGTGTGTGTGTGTGGTGTGTGTGTGTGGTGTGTGGTGTGTGGTGTGTGTGTGTGTGTGTGCTGTGTGTGTGTGTGTGTGTGTGTGTGTGTGTGTGTGTGTGTGTGGTCAGCTTGGAAAGGGTCCTGAGTATATTTAGACAGAGTAGATTACATTGTCTTTAATCTCAAAGCAATTCATAATCTTTGTTTCCATACTGTATAATGCAGTACAAAGTGCACCATTTTACTCTTATGTTCATTTAAATCTTTACTTCTTTCTTAATTTGAGGAACTATTACGAAATTCTACACATCCTTAGGATAAATATAGAACTTATGATAAAACGTAACCATTCCCATCGGGAATCCACTAGTCCACTGCGCAGTGGACTAGTGCGCTGGTGTTCGGATCAGGGGAGCACAGGTTCAAACTAGGGATGCTCCGATCGCCAATTTTGGGGCCGGAATCAGTATCGGCCGATACCGATCGCCGATCCGATCGAGTGGGCGGGGCCTATGGGGATCTTCCATTTAAAGTGATGTTTAAAACTCAGTTAATGGGGCTCATTCACTGGCGCTTCCACAAACAACAACCAACATAATTATTACCTTCAAATGTAGTACATTATTCAAGTTTACATTCACTTTGGATAATAACACGGGAGAAATGAGCGGAAGCGCTATCTTTTCCTCTCTCCCCCTCTCTCTCTCTCCTGACAGCCTGTCAGTATCGTCTCATGCAGCTCACTGATCCAGTAATGAGTGACCCGACAGTGAAGAATAAATATATTTATAACTAATTTAGCTTGTTCCAGAGGTAGATAAACTAGCTAAGTGTGTTAGGTCTAACTCTTAGTGTGTGTTTCGCTCCGCTCACCGGTCCGTCACAGCGGGCGGAGCTGCAGGATTTCTGCTTCACACACACGTTGCATACCGGCCGCTATTTTATTGTCATTTTCGGACACCTTGAAAAACTGCCAGACTGGTGAAGCCATTTTGGCGAGCTTGTTTTGCCGCGCACAGAGAAAAGTGTCATGTATTTTAC